TATCACTGAGCCTTCATCAACCGGGATTGGTGGAGATATGTTCTGTCTATTCTATGATGCAAAGTCAAAGAAAGTCCATTCACTCAACGGTTCTGGCCGATACCCCGCCAATGCGACGCTCGAGAAGATCAGAGAAGATTTGAACCTCGGTGCCGATGAGAAGAGGAGCATCCCAATGACCAGCGTCCTATCGGTGACCACCCCCGGCGCAGCGGCCGGATGGGTAGACACAGTGGAGAGATTCGGCAGTGGCAAGCTGTCATTGGAGCAGATCCTAACACCAGCAATTGAATTGGGCGAGCAAGGATTCGCTGTGTCAGAATTATCCTCCTACTTTGTAAGTTTATCCTTTTTCATTTGTGCAGCATTTGTAGTATAATGTACCATTCTGACTGCTTTTCAAGTGGCGTGAGAGTGAACATCTGCTACGAAATGCATCTCCAAATTTTCGGGAGATGCTCAAGTCTGATCCGAAAGCCAAAGATGGTGCTAGAAGTCCCCTTCCTGGTGAAATTATGAAGAATCCGACATTGGCCAAGACCTTCCGAAAGCTCGCTGCGGAGGGTAAGAAGGGGTTCTATGAAGGCGAAGTTGCAGAAGAGCTGGTCAAGGTCGTCCAGGACCTGGGTGGCTATATGACCCTGGATGATCTTAAGTATCATGCTGAGACCGGAACACAGAATACTGAAGCTATCTCACTCAAATTCACGGGCCAAGATATAGTCAAAAAGCAGGCCGCTGGAACGGACGGTGAAGCAAACCAAGGGGTGGAGATATGGGAGCACCCACCCAACGGCCAGGGCATCGTTGCTCTCATGGCCCTGGGTATTCTTGAGGAACTCGAACGGACAGGAAAGATCCCTGTATTTACCGAGGATCAGCACAACTCGACAGAGTACCTTCACGCTGTTATCGAAAGTCTTCGGATTGCTTTCGCCGATGCTTCTTGGTGGGTCACGGATCCAGATGTGGAAAGGGTACCGTCGAAAGAGCTGATCTCCAGGGAGTACCTGGCCGAACGGGCGAAGCTGTTCAACCCGGAGAAAGCGGCAGCCATCGTCGATCACGGTAGTCCAGCTCACAATCACTGCGACACAGTCTACTTCGCCGTGACTGATGAAGAGGGCAACGGTATTTCCTTTATCAACAGTAACTATGCTGGATTCGGTAGTGGGATCATTCCGAAAGGTTGTGGCTTTACGCTACAGAACCGCGGCGCCAACTTCTCTCTGGACCCAGCTCATCCTAATGCGTTGGCTCCACGAAAGCGGCCGTACCATACCATCATTCCTGCGCTGATCACCAATTGCTCAGATGGCTCTCTTCACTCTGTTTACGGGGTCATGGGTGGTTTCATGCAGCCACAGGGCCATGTCCAGGTTCTTCTCAACATGCTTGCGTTCAACTATCATCCTCAAGCAGCGCTGGATGCTCCACGGATCTGTATCGCGGCTGATTCTGGGCCTGGCAATCCGACTGTCCATATCGAGGAGGGTATCAGTGACGAAGCAATTGAAGGCCTCAAGCGGCTTGGACATCAAGTCAAGGTCCTGACCGGGTGGCAGAGGGGAATGTTCGGTCGCGGACAGATCATTCGCTGTCATCACGACGATGGCCAGTTGGTCTACAGTGCGGGGAGTGACCCCAGAGGAGATGGAATGGCGATCCCTGCAGTATAAAATAATTGACTCAGCTTTGTGATACGTATGAGTCAATGAACGTGGACCTATCGCAGATCTCCTCTCTGAAAGATAGACTTGCAAGGTGATTAGGCCATCTTGTAGCAGTGGATGCCAGTGTCTCCCCAAGCTTCGAAATATTGCTAATTTCCGCATGGCCCGGGTGTAACCGTGTAATTCCCTGTGATATCGTTTCCTATGCATGTTAGATGACCTGCTTTTTAGCATCAATCAGCTTCTTGTGCACGCCGATATAGCGGGGTACTCTCGAGGTTGCCTAAGATTATTTCTGATTACTGGTCTTCATTTGCTGCGCAAGGGTAACATGCCACGTCAAAATAATAGGTATCTTGCATACTGACGAATCCTTCATCTCGAATATGGAGTGGACGCGGAGAGCTGGAGACCCCTCATTGATCTCCCAAGTTCTTGGCACAATTGTGCATAAATGAGGATTTCCTTCTACAGAAGCAATATAATTGATCGCCTAGCTCATGAATCATTAGTCATTACGAGAGAGTTTGAGACATCGCCGATTGAAATCCTGGAGAAGAAGTGGGTATACTGGCCGAACCCAAGCGAACTGTTTATTGGGGCTTCCCAGTACCATAACTTACCCCGCCTCGTACCTAGTATACAAGGCTTCACCCCTTGATTCACCGACGAGCTGGATTCGAGCGAAATTGAAGGACAAATCGCCATAGACTCCGTTTTATCTCATTGATGTCGAACGACCCCAAACTCCCTTCCAGTATCCCGGCATTCCTGGCGGGATACAAGGAGAATTACGTTGAAGGATGGGCTGAGCTCTGGAATAAGAGCGAGGGTAAACCTCTCCCCTTTGACAGAGGATTTCCCAACCCAGCATTGGAGGATACCTTGATCGAGAAGCGCGATATCATCAAAAGCCCCATTGGCCGAGATGCGCAGGGCAACACGTACCGGAAGAAGGCATTAGTCCCGGGGTGCGGAAGAGGTGTCGATGTACTTCTCCTAGCCAGCTTCGGGTATGATGCCTGCGGTCTGGAATATAGCGCCACTGCCGTTGAGGTGTGTAAAGAGGAACAGGCAAAGAATGGGGATAAGTATCCCGTACGGGATGCGGGGGTTGGTCAAGGCAAAATCACCTTCGTGCAGGGTGATTTCTTCCAGGATACTTGGTTGGAGAAGCTGCAATTGCCTCGCAATTCTTTCGATTTGATCTACGACTACACGGTATGTGGATCTCATTGTCCAATGCACCCGGCTTGGTCTCTAGTTTCTTTCTCAGGAGCAGAGTCAGCTAGCTTCTATATCGCAGTACTGTAGTTTTCTCGCTAAACTGCTGTGTTTGATAGTTCTTTTGCGCCTTGAACCCGTCAATGCGCCCGCAATGGGCGCTTAGACATACCCAGCTTCTGGTAGATTCGCCGCGTGGGCATCTCATTTGCCTTGAATATCCAAGGCACAAGGATCCGTCACTACAGGGCCCTCCCTGGGCCTCTACGTCCGAGACTTATATGGCACATCTGAGCCACCCTGGCGAAGAGATCCCGTATGATGCAAACCGTCAATGTAGCATTGACCCATCAAAAGTGCCAAGCCCACAGGGGCTTGAGCGAGTGGCATATTGGCAACCAGCTCGGACGCATGAGATTGGGAAGAATGAGGAAGGAGAGGTCCAAGACCGAGTATCGATATGGCGCCGCCCGAACTAGCTCGTCAATCCTTTTGTTCTTTGTGGCATATTTCGGGACCCTGACAACGATCCTGAGACGCTTAAGAGCAATTAGCAGACTCGAGAACCAGATATCAAATCGCATGTTTCTCCCTTGTAGAATGGCTGCTCTATGATTGTTTCGTAAGTGCATTATAATGCTCTCCGAGCCCATACGTATGCCGGTAGTATGCCAACCAGATGACTCGTTTATTTCTTTCCTCCTCATCAATTCCATCCATATCGCCGGCTTCGATCTTCTCTATCCTGCCATCGCCTTGAATGACATTAATGTTAACTCCATACGCCCGAGCGATTGCCTGCAGCTCCAGCTGTCCTCCCCACTCCGCCGTAAGCTTGATCTTCCGGGTATACGAATCCAACGGTTCCTCCATAAAGGGCTCGAAGTCATCCTTGTGCTCGACGATGAAATCCGCTGCCACTGCTCGAACCGCTCTGTAGCCATCATGTTTGGGCGAAGCAACCGTATCAATCCGAGACTGTGTCTGGGGCTGAATGACTATCCTTTGTGGATCAGGCCTTAGCCCAAGCCCTGCTTCGTCCAACTGATTGGCAATAGCTGAGTACAGACAGTGCCCATCTGGGTTGATTTCCACCTCTTTCAAGCCGAGTCGTTTGTAGACAGCCTCCATTACCTCCTTTTCGTTACCACGATGGTCAACCTGTTTTGCGGCCTCTTCTGCGGCGAGCGCCGACTGAGCCGACTGTTCCGCTGCCCGACGTGCCAGACGAGCCTTCTGTCGATTCGGTTTCTTCGTACGCGGGGCGGAGGCAGGTGGGGAGGTCGCAGTCGAGTCGGTCGTTGAAGGCTCCGGGAGGCTGTTTGTGCCTTGTGTATCATCTGGTGTGGGTTTCTCTGCTGTATCTGCATCTTCAACATCGGCATCGCGAAGACTAAGGCCCTCGAAGCCATCGACTGGCTGGATAGGTTCGCCGTTGAGCGCTGCAATTTCGGCTTGGTGACGATCGGAGAGCTCTCGCTGTAGCCTCTCGCATTCCTCGTTTATTCCTCGACGAGTCTTCTTTGTAGCTGATTTCTTCTTCTGTGTGATGCGCGCCTGAAGATCTTTCTGCTCCTTGCGATGTCTCGCTAATAGCTCTTCCATTTTTAGTCAAACGCAGGCAAAATGCAAGGTAAAGCGAAAAATCTATAATCTTGGGGTATGAGAGCAAGACTAAACCAAGTAAATATGCGAGAATGTAAATGAAACAAATTAAAAGGTGCTGAAATCGACAATGCCATCCATGGTACCAACGCCCTACAATTGTAGAACAACTGCGACTTGCGATAATAATCATGAAACAGGACTCGCCCCTCCCCACACAAGCGTCCAGATGGCCCTGGATTTTCATAGATTAGGCATAGCGTGCGCCTGTCGGTGCTTCTGTTGTTCCTGCTCCGAACAGCCTCGGTATTCTTCGCCAAGCTGTGCAACAGTCTCTCGGTCGTCGGATAAGCATCGTAGCTAGACTATATGAGGAGGGCATTCCTCGCCTCGACCATGGTGAAGACACGTCTCCCTTGAAAGATTCTTTGGAACTCGTTCCCTTCATTCGTATCTTTTTTTTTTCCCCGCCTTAGAATCATTTCTGACACTATTGCCATGGATACCCAGAGTCTCTTCAATGTGGAGGTTAGTATTGGTGCTCTCGCTTGCGCACCAACATTTTGCATATTGCTAACAATTATGTAGGGCAAAGTGGTGCTGGTCACCGGCGGAGCCAAAGGCATTGGGCGCATGATCTCCGAAGGTTACGTCACCAACGGCGCAACAGTTTACATCTCGTCTCGAGATGCCAAGGCTTGCGAGAAGGCCGTGCAGGAGCTGAATGCTATTGGCCGGGGAAAGGCATATGCTATTCCCGCGGACTTCTACAAGGAGGAGGAATGCAAGAGGCTAGCTGAAGAGATTGCCAAGCGCGAAAGCAGTAAGTTGGTTTTGGGAGCCCTGCTCAGGCGGAAGGCTAATCTCATGCTTTATCAGAGCTTCATGTCCTCGTGAACAACTCCGGGTCAAACTGGGGCGCTCCTTACGATGAATATCCCTCGTCTGCCTGGACCAGAGTTCTCACCCTGAACCTTCAACGAGTCTTTGATCTCACCAAGCTCCTCACGCCTCTTCTTGAGAAGGCTGGTGCGCCGACTGATCCAGCTCGTATCATTAACATCGGTAGCATTGATGGGTTGAGAGTTCCAGCTCTAGAGACGTTCGCATACAGCGCTAGCAAGGCTGGCTTGCACCATCTGAGCCGTGTCCTCGCACATCACCTTGGCAGGAGGAATATCACGTTCGTACACCTTATGCTGATTCCGTGCGTCGAAGAAGGCAACTGACATGGCTTTCCGCAGATCCAACACCCTTGCTTGCGGTCCCTTCGAGAGCAAGATGATGGCCGCCACGTTGGAGAAATTCCGGGATGCTATCGAAGGTGCTAACCCACTGGGCCGTATTGGCACGCCTCAGGACGTCGCTGGTGCTTGCCTTTTCCTCAGCAGTCGGGCCGGTTCGTACATCAATGGTGCGACGATCGCTGTGGACGGTGGTAGCGCGATTGCTGCGAAGATGTAGACAACATACAACAACCAGCTTAGCGCAGACTAGAAAAGCAAAAATGTTCGAATGGACACGCTTATCATAACCTATTCAAGAAGGAGTTGCCGAGTTTATCTCAGATTATTCCCTTGGTTGTGGCTGTCTTCCACTTGTTATGAGCAGTTGAGCAGGGGTTGCAATGCAACAAGTCTTGACCTCTGGCAATAATAATAGCAAAATAGGGTCAAAGATATCCACGTGTCTAATCTAACTTATGCACTTCAGTGGATCTCTAGGACTTTGCATGATACTTCTGTCCGCGAGATAGCCACCCTAACCCAGTTCTGAGAGAGTGTAATATTGCCTTGGCGTGGATTGACCAACCCAACTCCCCAGCATCAAGGAGTCAACTGAGCAGATCTTCTGATGCCATCGTGCCGTAAAAGTTGTGATAGGTAAATGCAGGTCTCACCTTGACCAAATCGAGGTTTTCAGGCTGACAGATCGTCCTTTGTGACTCTCAGTCTCAGCTCATCATTTCCAGCCCGATGGCGGTGGCTCAGTAAAAATACCTTGAGAGCTCGTATTCCGACATTTGTTAACCAGTGGATGAGATAATTGCCTCTTACATCTGAAGCTTTATCGACGCAGGGGAGCTTCATAGTCGCGTGGGGTTGCTGTTTGGTGAGCTTCGGATTGGTCTGGCAAATCCCTCAGCTAACGCGCTCTATACTATAAAGCTTTAGATGGGCGAACTCGGTGTGAGTCCAATATATTAACGTTCTACTTCAGGACCACTTAATTGAACGAAACGAAAGCCTCTAAGAGTATTTGGACTAGCAGCGGTTCCTGGACTCACCCTAGAAGTATCGGCGACCTGGTTGCGAGGGTGTATCTCAAGTTGCGGTTCAAGATCTATCTTGAGAGCAAGGAATGTGGAAGCCACCACTTAATTTCATAACCTTGCATTGTGCGTTAACCTTATCTGACTCACATCATTTTATGCAAGCTCATCAGAAATAAGATGCATACATTGTTACTCTGGGCATCTTAGGGATTGTTATCCTCTATCCGTACGGCAATCTAAGTGCAGTCGATGCCTACCTTTTCGGAGTGAGCTCCTCGACAGAATCAGGACTGAACCCGTTTGTTGACCTCACTCCGAAGTCCATTGAGAACACTTGCTGATAAAAAGCCGAGCAAAAAAGTGTTGACGTGAAGGAGTTGAAGACCTATCAACAGCTATTTCTGTACTTTGTTCCCATTGTGGCCAACGCCGGGTTTATCAATTTTATAGTGGTCGTTGTGCGACTGCACTGGTTCGAGAAGCATCTGAAAAACCTGGGTATGTGTTACAGCTCATCTATCGCATATTCAATCTGATCTAGGCTTTCTTGTTGCTAACTTCGTGAAGCACCTACTCTTCTGCAATCAGAATCATCGCACGCGAAAGATGCAGAAGCGCGACCAGCCAAGTTCAATGCCGATGGGCCTCCAGAAGCCAATACAGGGCAATTGCACTCGAGTACTGTATTTGATAATCAGTTGAAGCTGGCTAAGTGAGTACTACCACTGACTTGAATTCCATCTGGGTTGTCTAAGCATCAAGCTGGTTTTCAGGGAATACGATTGCATCGTCACAGACAATGACAACAACGGCGACAACAACTCGACCAAACACAGACAGATTTCCTTTGCAGAAGACTCAAAGACTTTACACATACCCTCGCCGCGCGAACGCGATAGAGGTAATCCCTGGTTTTGAGTTGAGGAACTCAGTCCTGGCTAACAGGGTCTAGGTCATGCTATCACCGAGATAGACGACCACGGTATGATCCCTAGAGAGGTGTATCTTCAAGAGAGATAAATACTAATACATATGTGTCAAAACCAGACCATTTCAAACGCGCCGAAGATGAAGATCATCAGACCGATATAGCTCGCCATCGAACTTTGGTCAGCGGCATCCCGCTGAAGCGTGTGGCTTCGTCGATGTTTGTGCTAGGGTCTTATCCCTCTAGATCTCAAGAGCGACAGTCTAGGAGAACCATCCCCCTTGCTAAAGACCCGCAGCTGCCGCGCCTTTCGTCACAAGCCAGTCTCGGCAGAAACTCAACGTTCTACAACCTGACCTCTGAAGACAGAGAGGCGCTGGGAGGAATAGAGTATCGCAGTCTCAGGCTACTTCTGAAGATAACACTTGGTGAGAGCAGACTTATCTCATGCTCAACCGGAGAACCTGACATATGAGCATAGGCTATTTTGTTGGCCTCCATGTCTTTGGTGTCATTTGCCTCGTGCCTTGGATTCAACATGCGGATCCCAAATACAGGGACTATCTGAAGGAATGCGGACAAGGAAACGTCTGGTGGTAGGTTTGCTGCTGCATGAGCGTTGAACAGTCCAAGATCAGCAAGGCTTACTATGCTCGCTGCCCGCAGGGCCTTGTACACGTCCCAGACGATGGTTGACAACCTAGGATTCACACTTACTCCTGACTCGATGGTCTCGTTTCGAGACGCGGCATTCCCGATGTTCGTCATGAGCTTTCTCGCGTACGCAGGCCATACTATGTACCCCTGCTTTCTGCGCCTCATCATCTGGATCGTGTTCAGATGCGCCCCGGAACATTCATCCCTCAAGGAGCCGCTGAGCTTCTTGTTGAATTATCCACGCCGTTGTTACACGCTGCTCTTTCGTAGCCGACCTACATGGGTGCTCTTTGGAATTCTTTTTGCGTTGAACTTTGTGGACGTCTTGCTCATTGTGCTGCTTGATCTCCATAATCCAGCCGTCAACACTTTATCCGGTGGGCAGCGCGTCCTCGCGGCCATTTTTCAGGCTGCTTCGGCACGCCATACCGGAACTTCATCCTTCAGCCTCGCAGAAGTGAACCCTGCAGTTCAATTCAGCTTACTAGTCATGATGTACATTTCGATTTTTCCGATTGCCATCAGCATCCGTGCATCGAATACGTACGAAGAACGTGCTCTTGGGCTATATCCCTCTGATCAGGATGAGCTGGATGAAAGCAATGGGATTAATTACGTGCTAACGCATATGCGCAATCAGCTCAGCTTTGATCTTTGGTATATATTTCTTGGTATATTCTGTATCTGTGCCACCGAGGCACGGAGGATCATGGACCCTTCGGAACCTGTTGGTTTCCAGTCTTGTTTCGTTTTAGAGCTCGCACCACTGACTTTTTGCAGGCCTTTAGCGTGTTTGCCATATTCTTTGAGGTTGTCTCTGCATAGTGAGTACAGTATCTATTCCTTGCCTTCCGAAGATGTCTGATCTATTGCAGTGGAAACGTTGGCCTCAGTCTGGGATACCCCAATGTGACAACCTCATTCTGTGGACAGTTTAGCGTCTTTAGCAAAATCGTCATCTGTGCCATGATGATACGAGGACGCCATCGCGGGCTGCCAGTTCAACTTGATCGTGCGATACTGCTTCCTGGCGAACGCCTTGCGGGAGATGACAGACTCGTTGCTGGGTCTTCTGCTGGACGTCGATCCCAGACACTGAACAGTTTTAGACGATACCATACAAAATAGCGAAGCGGCGTGGGGATATGGAAGAATAATCGAGGAATGACATCTCCAAGCGAATAGCTAGAATTGATATTGGATTGTTGTTGTTGATGCCTCTGGTAGAGGGCTTCGATCTATCATATGCACCCGTGGTCGACATTGGTAAATTTTATACAACCGTTTGATCGTAACCAACCGATTTCGATACATTTCCCTCTTATTCTTCGCTCCGATCTGTTACTTATGATTTGTTGATTCGATTCGATAAGATTTATTTCATTCTGCCCCTCCGCCTCCATTTGCACGTTCTCGATTCGAGCATATCCTTGTCAAGACTGCTATCGATAACTTTCTTTGACTCTGTGGATACGCTATCTACAGGCTACGAAAGATAGTAGTGATGAGCGGCAATGATGTAGTGATGGATCCCTGTGGAGCGGCGACATCATCAGTTCACTTATGCCGTCATACCAGCACAATGAACCTCTTTATCATTGTCGGAGTTGAAGTGTCCAGGAATTACTCAGAAAGTCCAACTTCGGAAGTCACTTGGACAGGAAAAGAAAGAAAGCTAAATCAAGCGGAATCCGAAGAAAAAAAAGAAAAACCAAAGATAACGTGCATCCCCCACGGCGCACGTTGTCATTCCTCCGTCCGTCGTCTGTGGTAACTAATAATTGATCGGTGTGGCCAATTCGTGTGGAACTCCCCTTTATCTATCATTTTCCCTTCGTCATTTATCTCTGAGAACTTTTCACACTGTGTTGCAATCTGGAATTCAGACACCAAGTATCATAGCAAATTTTTAAGCGACACAGAAAGAACGCCACGGACGACTTTTGGCGCGGTCATTGCTCTCGCTTTACCTCGTTCAGCCCAACAATCCTTGCTCTGATCATTATTTTAGCCTTTTTTGACTCCGAGATCCCTTCCATTTATTCTTCCACGACCGAAAGACGATGAGCTCGTCCAATACACAGCATCGACGAACGAATTCTCTCGATCCATTTTCTGATCCTGACGTTTATTATGGAGACGAGGACTCAGTTGCGCGGATTCGGGACCGCAGGCGTGCGTTTTCTTCGGTGAGTTACATGCTTACGAGAGATCGGAGACCGGGGCATTTTGCTGACCATTCTCGGTAATACATAGACTTTGAAAGCATTCAACCGCGAGGATATCCAGGATCTTCTGGGCAAGATTCCTGCCAGGAGAGGCAGCCATGGTATGTATCCGAAGCCCCTGCGAAGAACAAACTGAGAACAAAGTTGCGGTGACTGACCTGCACGTGCTCAACAGATGAGCTTTCCGCACAACCACGAAAGTTCCTTATCGATGTCGACACAACCCTGCAGAGCTTGTTGGAACGGGAGGATACGGACAGGAACATGCAGATAACAATTGAGGATGTTGGTCCGAAGGTATGTGACTCATTGGCCCAGAATGGTGCAAGTCATACTTCGAGCGACGGCTGATTTGTGCTGTTCAGGTGTTGTCCGTAGGAACTGCTGCGTCATCCGGGTACAACCGATTCGACGTGCGAGGAACGTACATGCTTTCCAATCTTCTGCAGGAGCTCACCATCGCCAAAGACTATGGGAGGAAGCACATCATTCTCGACGAAGCTCGTTTGAGTGAGAACCCTGTTGCGCGTCTATCTCGCCTTATCAAAAATTCATTTTGGGACGCTCTTACTCGTCGCATTGATGGTTCCAATATTCAAGTCGCCGGCAGGGATCCGAAAGACTGGACTGATGACCCGCGGCCCCGAATTTATATCCCCACCGGTGCCCAAGAGCAGTTCGAGTACTACAGGGGGATTGCCCAGGAGCACCCTGAGTTGCGACTTGATGTGCAGATGCTCGACGCGAATATTACACCGGACTATGTGAGGGATCTTAACTCTAAGCCTGGATTGCTCGCGTTGGCAATGCAGAAGAAGCGCAATGAATCCACCCAAAAGACCGAATACGTTGGTGTGCCGTTTGTTGTTCCAGGAGGAAGATTTAACGAGTTGTATGGGTGGGACAGCTACATGGAGTCTCTAGGCTTGTTGGTCAGCAACAGAGTGGACTTGGCCAAGGCCATGGTCATCAACTTTTGCTTCTGTATCAAGCATTACGGCAAGATATTGAATGCCAACCGCTCATACTACCTCACTCGTTCTCAGCCACCGTTTTTGACCGACATGGCCCTGCGCGTCTATGAGCGTATCAAGAACGAGCCGGATGCAATGGAATTCCTTCGCAACGCAACACTCGCTGCGATTAAGGAATACTACAGCGTCTGGACGGCTGCACCGCGTTATGACGAGCTGTCGGGTTTGTCCAGGTACCGTCCAGAAGGAAGGGGCGTCCCTCCCGAAACCGAACCGACCCATTTCACGCATATCCTCACTCCCTATGCCGAAAAGCATGGTATGGGGTTCAAAGAGTTTGTCCAGGCTTACAACGAAGGCAAAGTCGAGGAACCTGAGCTCGACGAGTACTTCTTGCACGATAGGGCCGTCCGCGAATCAGGCCACGATACCAGCTACCGTCTTGAGAGAGTCTGCGCTAATCTGGCCACGGTTGACTTGAACTCTCTTTTGTACAAGTACGAGGTCGATATCGCCAGGATTATCCGGACCTATTTCAAAGACAGGCTAGAAATTCCTCCTGAATTCCGCACTGAGTCGACCAAGGATATTCAAAGCGAGTCATCCTCCGTGTGGGATCGTCGTGCAAGAAGACGCAAGGTGCGGATGGATACCTACCTCTGGGATGATGAGAAGGGCATGTACTTCGACTATGACACGGCTCTGCAGAAGCGGACGACTTATGAGAGCGCCACGACATTCTGGGCCATGTGGGCCGGACTCGCGACACCGCACCAAGCGGCAGAAATGGTGAGGAAGGCTTTGCCCAGATTTGAGGCCTACGGTGGTCTGGTTTCCGGAACTGAGGAGTCCCGCGGTGCTGTTGGTCTTGACAGGCCTAACCGGCAATGGGACTACCCGTACGGCTGGGCTCCGCAGCAGATGTTGGCCTGGACGGGACTGCTGAGATACGGCTACCAGGAGGAGGCTGAGCGTCTGGCCTATAAGTGGTTGTTTATGATTACCAAGGCCTTTGTTGACTTTAACGGTGTTGTCGTCGAGAAATACGACGTCACTCGTCCTATCGATCCACACCGGGTCGATGCCGAATATGGCAACCAGGGTGTAGATTTCAAGGGAGCGCCTCGAGAAGGGTAAGTGTCTACGTCTTCAGCCACTCGCACCAGATGACTGACGATTGGATACAGGTTTGGCTGGGTTAACGCCAGTTATGTGTACGGCCTGGAGTTCCTGAACGCCCATCAACGGCGCGCGCTGGGAGCCATCACCCCTTGGGATACCTATAGCAAAGCTATAGCTGTGCAGGACGCTTATTAGAATCGGCGATTCCACGCTTACTACTTCCAGTTTCCAGGTTTCTCCTTTCTTCGGAGCATCTTCTACTACTGGTTAGAGAAGCATCCATCATGATTTGAGGCAGGTTGATTATCGTTAGTATTATCATTTTAATCGCTAAATTGCGGCTCGTTTCTCAATATTCGATTCAAGTGAATCGGATGCAGAAGACCCTTTCAGGCACCGTGGAGTTTGATGTGATTCTGGATTTTGCAGATGCTATCCTCTTGTCGTCCCAGTCGGCATGTTTCTTCCCAAGCCATGTCAGCATAAGCAGAAAGGAACGGAAAATTTTTGCTCGTCTAGCTCTGTCTCACCTCAATGTCTTTCTTTCTTTCCCAAGTCACAGTCATTTAGTCAAATTGCAACCTGTTTGCGAGGAGACAAAATAAGTTTTCTCCGGCGGGAATATCCACATAGAGTACTTTTATAGGTATAATCGATTCGATCTCAATAACATCATCTCATTCACAGCTTTGCATTCGGATGAATCTAATACCTCCATAAAGACATCATCACATTGCCAAAATCTACATGGGGGATAACGAAGATATCTCCGCCTCGTGTCGTTCCGACTATGTCATCTCCGCTTACCCCTGCCTTGGAGATAAACAAGCTATCTCCGCAGTCAGCAGGATGCATCTCCGCATACCCCGAGAGTGCCATCTTGCATCTACCAAAGTGCTATCCAGCGTGGTCCTACGTATATAAATAGGAAGACACACGTCTTCTCAAGATGCACACCCACAAGCTCAATCCAGAAATCCTTCGCACCGACAACCATGTCTCCCATTGACAAGAACACACCCGCCCAAGTACTAGTCCACAACTATGCCAGCCACATCAAAGGCAAAGTCATCCTCACCACCGGTGTCTCCCCCGGCAGTCTAGGCAGCTACTTCGTGCAGTCCATCGCGGCCGCTGAACCAAGGTGTCTCATCCTCGCCGGCCGCAACAGGAGCAAAATCCAGCAGACGGCCGACGAGATCAAGGCCTCGCATCCGAGCGTCGAGACCCGCCTCGTCGAGATCGACCTGGCCTCCTTCGAAAGCGTCCGGCAGGCAGCTGCGGAGATCAACTCGTGGCCTGATATCCCGGCGATCGATGTAGTGGTTAACAACGCGGCCATTATGGCGACGGAGTATGCACTTTCGCGGGAGGGGGTGGAGTCGCAGTTTGCGACGAACCATCTCGGGCCGTTCCTGCTGACGAACCTGATTATGGGGAAGGTTCTGGCGGCGAGGAGTCCGAGAGTTGTCATGGTTACTAGTGATGGGCATCGGTTGAGTGGGATCAGGTTTACGGATTATAACTTTGATGTGAGTGATTGGCTGTTCTTCGGTACGGATGCTTCAAGGGTTGTGAGCAGAGCTGACACATGTTATCAGAATGGCAAGGTATACAATAGATGGCTTGCATATGGGCAGACGAAGACGGCGAATATGCTCATGGCCATCGCTCTGGCTGAGAAGCTTGCGGCCCGGAATCTTCTCGCGTTCAGTCTGCACCCGGGTGTGATCTTCACGAATATTGCGAGCCACCTTGAAGACCTGGACTCGAGCTTCAAGGAGCTCGGTATGTGCTTTTCATTTCCTAGTCTCATCGTTCTTTTGAGTCTGACTAACAGAACAGGCGCTCTCGACCGCGCACAGGGTAACCCCGAAGGCTGGAAGGGACTGGACCCGAAACCATTGGAGACAGGCGTCTCGACCCATATCTATGCAGCCTTTGATCCTGATCTTGCAGGTAAGAGACCTGTCTGTAAGAATTGAGTTGCATAGACTGACACAACCCAGAACACAACGGCAAGTACCTGATCGACTGCCATGTTGCAGACCCGTGGGTCGACACAGTCAAGCCATGGGCTACAAGTCCGATCGAAGCTGAGCGATTATGGAAGCTGAGTGAGGAGTTAGTAGGCGAGAAGTTCACATACTAGTCCAAGTGCCTGTTTCAGCAATATGCCTCGTGACTCTTTGTTAGATGTAAATGTAATCTGATATACGATTTGCATGTGAACTTTCACACAGAAGAGCAGAGCATCTCCGCCTCCAAGCGGAAATATGCCCAAAATAGGCATCATACATCACCCAGCTGGCGAGAACACGCGTATCAAATACTCAGTATCGAGTCGTCAACCAGACAGGCGATGATGGCATTTTCGTCGACAATGAAACGGAAACAGGACGAATTCCACCGCCTTGTTTTCCCGAGGCTGATTCGAGTCACTCCTGGAGGAAGTGTTCCGGGCCTGTGATTGGTGCTCGCTGGGCCGAGGTTGATGCCTACCTAGGTACGGAGTACCTTAGGTCCTTTCTCGACATGGATGGCTGTTTTGTTTCATCTTGGATACAGAGTCATGTCGAAGTATTTAAGACATTGTCGCCAATTGTGGTTAGGACTGTTTACTCCAGGCATCATTCTGTGATGGGTATCTATGTACTTGCCTGAGGCATAGACACCTGAGGTTATGTCATTGTTTAAGCTCTGCGACAGTAACCGTACGTATGTGGGGTACAATTACCGGGGTCTGACATCGATACCTGAAATGACTCAGATTCTGATATCGGCACCGAGTTCACCGAATTGTAGAAGGGCAGAAACAACCGGGATATATTCCTTTTCAGCATAGTAGGATATCCAGAATTTGATAATGTTTGACAAGGCCATTGAAGCTCCGAGAATCGGTGTCTAGGGAAGCGTGCTTTCAAACTGTCGAGTACGATCATACCTTAGGTATCTTTGATACTGTCACGTGCCTGTATTGTTATGACAATCTACCTAGCACATGTTTTTACGTCATCCTGTCGCATTTGACAGCTTCGCTTTGAGGCTCAATAGCATAGAAATTCGAATTAATTTGGTATTACTCGACCAGCTATGAATACTAAAATCGCCGTTTATATGAGTCAGTCGCATGCAAAATGGTTGAGTGGCAATTGGGGTCGAATACAGGCACTCCTGTATTGCTGCGTCCATTAGACCGAGGATCATCGCTAGTCTCGATCCTCTCTCCCGAGCCACCACCAGTGAGCTTGGCCGATTCTCGGGGCTAGCTTGTGAATTTGGAACATGTTAACCCAAATTTCCTGATGAGCAAGTCGAACGAATGGATCCCCGCGGTTTGCGAAACTCTTCTAGTACTCTATTCAATATTAATAGTGCAATGCTCGTATGGCCGGCCCGCATTGGATTCCTCGTTGTCCCGCTGAGCCGAGCGATTACCGACCATAGACCTTCTGACGCATTCGCGATGGCGCATGCTTCAAATGTAATAAGTACCCTGACTTTTGGCTTGTGATTCTGGATTTGAAACTGCAATTCTCTTCCTCACCTGTTCTTCTTCAGCTTCACCTACTTTCTTCTCTCCTCTCTGGGGCTCGGTTCTCCTTTTATAATCTTGTCTTGCATGTTCCGCCTAGTGTAGGGTTAGCTACTATTACATTACTGCTGTGAATCAACCTTTCTGTGGCCAATTCGTTCCGACTCATCCTCTTCATACCTGTCACAATGGGTTTCCTTGAAGACGAAGATCAGAAATACTTGGACGACGTCCAAGCCGTCAAGGCCTGGTGGACAGACTCGAGATGGAGGTACACAAAACGCCCGTACTCTGCAGAGCAGATCGTGGCGAAGCGTGGAAACCTGAAGATTCAGTACCCTTCCAATGACCAGAGCAAGAAGCTCTGGAAGATACTGGAAAGCAACTTTGAGGTACGCAGGTTCGAATGGAGTGACAGAGAAACAGCACTAACCTTGATTTCCTCCAGAAAAAAGTTGCCAGTTTCACCTATGGCTGTCTCGAACCAACAATGCTCACCCAGATGGCCAAGTACCTTGACACCGTCTACGTTTCCGGCTGGCAGAGTTCTTCCACAGCCTCGTCCACCGATGAACCCTCCCCCGATCTTGCCGATTACCCCATGGTAAGCTCGTATTCAGCATCGGCCCCATAGTGAAGCTCTGTTGCGCTCGTGCTAATTCTGTATTGCGCAGAACACCGTCCCCAACAAGGTAAACCAGCTGTTCATGGCACAGCTGTTCCATGACCGGAAACAACGCGAGGAACGCATCACAACCCCTAAGGACCAGCGGAGCAAGCTGCCCAACGTCGACTACCTACGCCCCATCATCGCCGATGCTGATACCGGCCATGGTGGTCTCACAGCTGTCATGAAATTGACCAAGCTGTTCATCGAGAGAGGAGCCGCCGGTATTCACATTGAAGATCAGGCCCCTGGTACCAAGAAGTGTGGTCACATGGCCGGAAAGGTCCTTGTCCCTATCAGCGAGCACATCAACCGTCTGGTTGCCATCCGCGCGCAGGCAGATATCATGGGTGAGTAGACACATGCAGACTGTCATTCTACCAGAATATCAGCTGACAAGATCCCAGGGACCGACCTGCTTGCCATTGCCCGTACCGACTCCGAAGCCGCAACACTCATCACCTCTACCATCGACCACCGCGACCACGGCTTCATCGTTGGCTCTACCAATCCCAACCTGCAGCCACTGAACGACCTCATGGTGGCGGGTGAGCAGGCCGGCAAGTCTGGCGAAGAGCTCCAGGCCATCGAGGATCAATGGATTGCCCAAGCTGGTCTGAAGCTGTTCAACGAAGCTGTTGTCGACACCATCAAGCAGGGCGTGCATGTCAACAAGGATGCCCTCATCAAGGAGTACCTGACTGCCGTCAAGGGCAAGAGCAACAGCGAGGCTCGTGCTATCGCCAAGGGCATCACTGGCGTTGACATCTACTGGGACTGGGATGCTCCCCGTACTCGGGAGGGCTACTACCGGTACCAGGGAGGCACGCAGTGCGCCATCAACCGTGCTGTTGCCTATGCTCCGTTCGCGGACCTGATCTGGATGGAGAGTAAGCTCCCTGATTACGCTCAGGCGAAGGAGTTCGCCGACGGTGTCCACGCCGTCTGGCCTGAACAGAAGCTGGCGTACAACCTGTCGCCATCCTTCAACTGGAAGAAGGCTATGCCACGTGAGGAGCAGGAGACTTACATCAAGAGACTCGGCGCTCTGGGCTATGCCTGGCAGTTCATCACCCTGGCTGGTCTGCACACCACCGCACTCATCTCCGACCAGTTCGCCAGGGCCTACGCGAAACAGGGAATGCGCGCGTACGGCGAACTGGTGCAGGAACCTGAGATGGAGCGGGGGGTGGACGTGGTGACTCACCAGAAATGGAGTGGTGCCAACTATGTGGATAACCTCTTGAAGATGGTTACTGGCGGTGTCAGCAGCACTGCCGCCATGGGTAAGGGTGTGACAGAGGATCAGTTCAAGCACTGAGATGGTGGATAGTCAAGAACCGCCTGAAAATTTTCTCATGACACTTTTTTTTTTTTTTTTCCTTGATCTGACATCTCGTTCTTGACGCTGTCAAGCCTTGTCAGTGTACAGTAGACTGTACGCATTGGGATATTTGGAGTTTTTTGTTTTGAAATGTCTTCTCATACAGAGAAAGCCAATACCTGGATAGTTCGCATCAAAGTCGTTTCATTTTTCGAGCTCCGTTTTCAAGTATTCCATAACACATTATCTCGAAATTTCCGCTTCATTGTAGACGAGCTCTCCGTGAGAGGAACGATCTTCAGGTTTATGGCCACTCCTGAGAGTTAGAATTTGCCTGGAAGAGACTCTACTTTGTACTCCGGACGGAGTACTGTACCTGGTCTTAGCAGGATGTGCTGCTGGTTAGTTATTGGTCACATAGGATGATAGGGCCAATGTGCCTGATGATAAACGGTGACTTTTGGACAGAACTAAGCATCTCTCGGGCGAACTGTTGCTCCGGTCAAGTTGACCGATTGAGAGAGCGTTGCGAGGGCGTTGCCGATCGTGTGGAGTTACTCCAAATCAAAGGAAGCATAACATGAAATTAGTCCCACAGTTAGGGATGGTGTTGCAGAATGAAGCCAGCATCTCTTCTATAGAGATACCTTTTAGAAACTGAGGTTATTGAATCGAGTCATCGTCTGAATGAAGCTGATTGCCCTTTTAGTGGATGGATCAATATCATTTGTGATGGTATGACAGTGCAACCACGGATGAGGGAGAGAGAGAATGGAGGAGTTGCCGCGGTTCAAAGATGCGCAAAGGGAGGGGGCAAGAGCATTAAGCTTCTGGCAGTTTGACACATGTGGTGACGATCTTGACAGACATGATTAATCTAGCCCTCCTGAAAAGCAAATAAATGAACATATTTCCGGGCCTATCTAGTTATGAACAGGTAGATAAATCAACCTAGGTAGTTAACTATATAATCTTAGCGTTTTGACCCTCTTCTCCGTCTCCTTAAAAATCATCCGATTATAGTAAGCTCCATCTATATAGCTCAGCTCCCTCCCCCGCCCAAAATTCCCTTCTCAATTGTAACTCTTCAACTTTCACCCCTTTTCCATCATGGTTGCGTCGGACATTCCCCCACTTCAATTTACTTCTATTGAAGATATCCAGGAGCGCGCCTCGAGACTGCGCAAGTCGTTTCTGGAGCACAAGACGCGCGATGTCGAATTTCGGTTGAAGCAGCTTCGCAAGCTCTATTGGGCGTGAGTGAACCTTCCACTCTTTCATTTGTGCATTTTGGGACTTCTTTCTAATGAATTATGCCTTTCTTTTCAGTATCAAGGACCATGAGGAGCAGATCGTCGAGGCCTTGGCCCAGGATCTGGGCAGGCCACGTTTCGAGTCCGAAGTCTCCGAGACCTTATGGATGGAGAATGACATTGTGTTTGTGAGCCGGAATCTTCACAAGTGGGTTAAGGATGAGAAGGCCGAGGATATCGACCTTAACTACAAATTCATGAACCCTAAGATCCGTAAAGACCCGCTGGGTTGTGTTCTGGTTATTGGGTATAAGCTAGCCATTTACAACTTGCCAAAATATGCACTAACGTTCGGTGATTCGAATATAGTGCTTTCAACTTCCCCTTTCAGTTGACTCTTGGACCGGTCATTGGCGCTATTGCTGCTGGTAATACTGTGGTAATCAAGCCTAGTGAGAATGCTCCCAAGAGCGCCGTCGTCATGCAGCAGATTGTGGAGGCCTCCCTCGACCCGTCATGCTACACAGTGGTTCAAGGTGGACCCTCGGAGGTTCAGGCCTTGCTTGCCGACCGATGGGACAAGATATTCTTTACCGGGGGCGCCAACGTCGGTCGTATCATCGCCAAAGCAGCCGCTCCTCATCTGACACCCGTTGTGCTGGAACTGGGAGGCATCAACCCCGCCATCATCACCAAGAATGCCAACCCTCGACTGGTCGCGCGCCGTATGCTATGGGGTAAAACGCTGAATGCGGGCCAGATTTGCACATCGCAGAACTACCTCTTGGTCGACAGAGCCATCTTGCCGGCCGTGGTTGAGGAGTTCAAGAAGGCCTACAAAGAATTCTACCCCCAGGGCGCTAAAGCATCACCAGATTACTCTCGCATCATCAATGAGGGTGCCTTCCGTAAACTCAAGTCCATGATCGATAACTCCAAGGGAAAGATCCTCATGGGAGGAACCATGGACGAAAACGAAAGATTCATCGAACCGACCCTTGTTCAGGTCGACTCGACCGACGACTCTCTGATCATCCAGGAGAGCTTCGGCCCATTGATGCCCATCCTTCCCGTCGACAACCTCGAAGAGGCCGTCAATATCGCCAACAGCATCCAAAGCACCCCCTTGGGTGTATACCCCTTCGGTAACAAGGCTGATACCGACAAGAGTAAGTCCACCGCTTGCCCATGCGCAGCCATACTTGCCACGGGATCAATCCAACTGACGTAATCCACAGTCCTTGCCATGACTCGCTCGGGCGGAGCTGCCGTCAACGATGCCGCCCTGCACATCCCCACCCTTCCCTTCGGTGGTGTCGGTGAGAGTGGTCACGGCGCCTACAGAGGAAAGGCCAGTTTCGAGGTCTTCGTGCATCGCCGCCCCATCACCACCAGCCCGGGCTGGCTCGAGGCGATCCTTTCCATCCGGTACCCCCCGTATGCCGGCAAACTGAGCAAGTTCAAGGTCGCCAGTACCTTGGTGCCCGATTTCGATCGCGAAGGCAATAAGCTTCGGTTCGGCTGGCTGCGCACCATCCTCACGCTCGGCGGCGGAACCGCGAAGGCTGGCGCTGGCAGGGCCGTAGCTGTTGCAGCCGGTGAGTAATCTCTTTTTATCTTTCTCCCCGCAAGCCTCTTCGCTGCCTGTGAAGTATTCGTTGTTCCCGACTTCTCACTTCTCCGCGTTACTCGGCAGACCGAGAGTGAACTCTCCCCCGCTCCGCCCTTCACACCTTCAAAGCGCTCTCGAGGAGTCTTCCTCCTCTCGTTCCTTCGCTCTACTACATTTCCTTGCCTTATATTCATTTCTGCTTTTTGTTCAGTTCTTGGCCCCTTGAATGATTTCTGGATACCCGGCGGCTTGGAGATACCCTCAGATTTGACATCTATCGATAATGATTTAATCATCTAATACCTATCATCTTGATTTAATACATCTACTTACGTCTCTGAATATCTAGTGGCCTACATTGTGCTGCAAATTCTCGAACGTCGATCATCGAAACTCTAAGGTGGTGTGACGGACCTGTCTTTTTCCTTTCTCGGTTGCAAATTGCCATTCGATACGGCATTTTTGGCACGTTCTGTTATTTGTACTGTCATACAAAATTGGTCCATGGTATAGCCTGAATCTGACCGGCCTTGAATGTGCGCATGCCATCATGTCATGAGGTGTACCGTTGTCATCGGGAGTCCTCGAACCCCCAAATTTCACCTTCGTAGCTAGATCCTGCGAACACTGTATATTGCAAAGTAATGATATATCATGGCTCATCTCATGCATGTCTAGATAAATGATAGCCTCTGTCCAGGTAGCACGATGAATTTGTGCTTAGCATCTCGCTTCCACGCCCTTCTTGCTGACACACAGATACTTCACGCCCTTGTATGGCTTCACGCCTTCTCCGAGGCCTCGACTGCGCCGCGGGTCGATATTCAGACTGTCGACTCGGAGCCCCGACGGTAGCCAACCTTTGACAGAGAATGAGACAGAGGCGGAGTTCGGCATAAGGCTGGCGTTCAGCTGTGCCTTTGTTTTCCGAGGTGGTGTATAGAATAAGGAGGAAGAAGACTGGGAGGAGGCCGGTGCAGGGGCGGGTGCGGCTGGCGATGACGACGATTCAGGTGCAGGGCTTTGAGGCTTAGAGGGATTAGGGGAGGTTTGCGGTACACTGTCGAGATCGGAGGCGACGAGCGCGCTGGCCGCGGCGGATTTGGATGACTTCTTGGTCTTAGCTGTCTTTGTTGTCTTCTTCTTCTTCTTCGTTTTCCGTTTCGTTGTACCTGTTGCGGCTTCCTCCGCGACCTGGTAAGACGCTGCTGTTGAGGCGTCGTAGTATCCTTGCAAGAGATTTGCGTCAGCGTCGGCCCCCTCGTTGTCTTCTTCAAGCTCGTCTTCCACATTCTGGTGTCCGACGACCGTGCAGCGAAGAGTCGCTGTGCCCGAAACAGTTCCGGAGTCTTTGGTAGGTATGCGCCACTCCAGTGTATCGTTGCCGGGCGCGAATATCGCTTCTCCGCGACTTGCCTGCATATCGGCGATGTTTCGAACGGTCTTCGGTATTGGTACTGTGACCACGACCTCTTCTAGGACAGGTGATGAGGAGTTCCCGCCTCCTCCAAGGAACGAGGGAGTAGAAGTGCCCGATCCGCCCCGCCCTGCTCCGGGGCGGTTGAAAGATGAGTATCCTGGAAAGCTTGTATTTAAGATCAATCGGACCTCAAATTCGGATCCCGTCGGTCCGAGTGACTTGCGTACTTCGACAATGGCAGGTAAGAATACCTTCTCCATATGCGTCGGAGGATGGTCAAGACTAGGATCAATAGGGAGCAGATCCACCTCATAACCCGCAAGAATAAATCGGCCATCGGGAGGCACAAAGCTGAGTTCGCCAGGTCGCTCCCTCCATCGAGCTAGTCGGACACAGGGATGGAATACCGGCAGGTCTATCTTCTTCCCAACAGCCTGGGGACCGCTGGGAGTGGTTAATGTGAGGAGCAAGTCGGGTATCCCGGATATTTTAGCCGTGAACGCGATGGTTCCCGATACCAGTACAGACAGAAGCCGTCCAGATGGGGCAATCGTGACTGAGAGTGATTCAATGATATCAACGTATAACTCATTCGACGTGTGCCGCACACCGGCCTTTCTCCACGGGATCGCAGGGCCCTGTGCGACATTTGCGGATGATAATGAGTGTTTCAGAGGGTTGGGAGGCCCTAGTATAGGTGTGGACGACCTGTGCGCAGCGGTAACCCGGTCAGTAAGGGACTTCAGATCCTGAGAGAGCCGCGTCAAAAGACCGGCCTGCACGAGCGACAACTCCATACTCACCCTGGTAGTCCAACGCCTCCTAACAACTTCCCCATCCATCCCGGCATCTCCACAACTTCCTGAAGCGCATTTGGTTCCGTATTACACACGATGCCCGCATCGCACATTTCGTGGAGCAATTGTGCAACCACATCGTAGTTCGCCTGAAGCTTGGAAGAGAGTAATGGGGCCCCGACAAAGTCCTCAAGCACATCAACAACTCGGTGCAAGAACTCCAGCGCAAGAAGCGGCTCGGTATCAACTTCGGAAAGGGCTAAAAACAGCAGATTTGACTGTACGATTGAAAAGACTGTCACCGGGGGCGAGATATTTGGAATGTAGAGGAGTGACGGACGCGGGGGTGAGTGGGCGAGATAGAGGGGGAGGATTGCTGCCGCGGAGGGCGGGCGGGAGCGATATACATGCTCCACGAGCGGGTTGCTTGAGAGCTCAGACAGTCAGCACTAATGGAATTGAACCATGGAGAAAACATTAAAGGCAGCGCATACTTGTGCTCATCATAGATGTAGAGCGCATCGACCTCGCCGCTCATCATGCCGGTGTGTCGTGTGTCTCAATCGGTGGGGAAGCATTAGCGGAGATCAGACACAACCGCTGGTTGACGACATCCAAAAAGTCCCTGTGTTTCTGCCGCTGACTCCCGCCTCGTGCACTTTTACAATGCGTTGGGGGGAGCTCCTCGAGGCATTCAAAGTTTATGTCCTTCCGGATTGCTGATTAACCTCAGGTGTTGTATCTGGAGTTGATCCCGTTCCGAGACTGGTACACCTACCTTCGCACACTGATAAGGACCGAATTACAAATGGCGCCGTCAGAAAGTCAGGGCGCTTGGGATGCTCAATCAAAAGACGCAAAGCGTCTTCTAGCAGAAGACAAGTACGATGATTGCCTCTCCTGCCGAATAACAGGTACGTCACTCCCGTCCTTTCTTTACTCCTGTGCAGGTGGCTTTTGGCTTACTTGAAGTCACACAGGTTCGGCCGCGTTCATTGGCCTTGGAGTATACAGTTACTACACAGGAATGAATAATCTACGAAAGCAAGAACAAACAATCATGCGGAGTGCGACAAAATACAAGATGGGATCTCGGAAATTGGGCATTGCAACTATATCTGCAACATTAGTAGGCATGGGAATATGGAGGGCTTTGAATTAGTCACCGGCGGCAAAGCTTTGGGTATTGTGCCAAGCTCATAATGTACATTATTGAATATCGATGGCATGTTATATGTCCTGGGAAGAAGGAAGACAAAGGGTTCCTTGGTGCGCATGCAGACCAGACCAAAATCCCAATATATACGATTCAAGGTTCACAACAACTGCCTCACTGGGTATCGCCATATCTGATATCCTCTATATGTTGAAATGCATGAAACAAACAAAAGCATGAAAAGGTTTTTGGAAAGTGTGATAATGTGAAGGAAGGTAAGAATAGAAGATAATAAGGAAATGCACAGAAGAAAAGAACATCAGAAAGCACAAGTAATACTCCCACAAATGCACCGAAAATCCAAAGTATCAATCAACCGCTGCATGACTATAAGAATAAAATTCGTCCCGTCGTCGACAATTATATTCTCTAGGCGAAGCGGCCGCGTTTGCCACCTCCAAACATGTCTTTGTTGTTTCCCATACCGGACAGGTCAAAAAAGTCGGGAAACGTGAGCTTCCGCTTCGACCCTATTCCGCCAGATGAGTCGCGGGGAGGGTTTCGAGGATTCGGTCGCGATAGATTGGTTTGGCGGTTCTGCTGCCTGGAGTTCCGGGGCAAGACGGAGACGCTGACGGGGGAACTATCCTGAGACGATGCTGTAGAGCTATCCGGGGCTTGCATGTCGACGTCGTGTTCCTGGTATTGAGGGAAAGATGGTCCTGCCGTGAAGGTGAAAACAGTATGCCTATCAAAGCCGTTGATATCGTTGACTGAGGGGGTAGAAGGCGCTGGTGGCTGCTGCTCTGGGGCGGTAGGCTCGTCCCGCTGAGACAATCCGGGTTTCTGAGGCGATTCCGACTTCGTTGACTGTCGGACAGCTTCTGAATCAGGCTGCTCCTTACGGACTGTGGCCTGCGGAGTACTTCTGGTCTTCTCGAGATCTCCACGCTCGTCATCGTCACTAGGTGTACCAAGTCCGTCACTTCGCTCAGTCGCCCACTGTCGTACTCTCCACCCTTCCCCATCACCAAGACCAAGATTTTCTTTGTCTAGAAACTGAAGAAGATCTTCAATTGCTTCTTGGTAACCCGCTTGTCTCGCCTGCGCTTGTTCCAGTACAGCATTCTTGTAAAGGTTGGTAACTGATAGAGCAGCAGCTTTGAATGATTGTAGGAGCTGTTCGGGAGGCTGCGGGCGAGGCGTCGAGCTCGGTAAAGATGTGTTCAAAGATCTCATGGAGTCCATGATTGTTATAACTGCGACAGCAGCCGTCCTGATGGAAGATTGAAGACGGTAGTTGCTTCGGTGCCACAAGGAGGGGTGAGGTGAACCGTGCTCCGTGAACAAAGGCCAATCAAGTCACGATGATGTAGCCAGAAAGAAAGGCTAAAAGGAGTATGTCAGGCACTGAAACCAATGACTGACACGGAGGTAGATAAGAAAAAGAAAAGGGAAAGGAGAAAGAAAGGCGATGTAGAAACGCGGATGCCAGCAGGTGATTGATGGACTATAACGAGTTGTGCAGGTGATCTTTCTTTTCTTTGCTTTGTCCCGGTAACGTGATCCACCGCGGGGAAACTTCTGTTCCGCGTCAGGATGACTCAGCGCTGAGTCAGCAGGCGCTGCGTGCTTCAGCCAATTAGCGCGTCATGCCGTGCTGCTCCGATGAAATGCAAGTCCATTTGCCATCCCAGCGCGACTGGCGACATTCTATCGTTCCTCAGTGTCCAACTTCCTCTCCTGTCCTTATACCTTGAGGTTTAAGGATTCGGCCGCCATAATTATCATACAAAGTTCCAGGACAGTCCAGCTAACGTCGGCTCCATCTTTTCAAGTTCTTCTTCGGTCTTTTGTCGTTCTTTTGAAGCACTCTCGAGTCGTGTTTCGTGTCATAAGGAATACTTGCGCTCAGTGCGCGGAGAACCAAAATGGCTCCTTCGCAAGTCCTCAACTCTGATACACCTTCGCAGGCGGACACTCCAATGACGGATGCAAATGAAGACGCTGTCACGTCAGTAGCCGTTGATAATGTAGACGCGCAAATGACGGTAGGTCTGATTCGAGCTTGCTGTGCCTTTGGCACTTGACTTTCATCTATCAAATGGTACTAATCGTTCTCGCTCTACAGGGCTATCAAGAAACCCCAGACTACACGGTAACTCCGCCTAACCCCGTTGATATCGGCAATTCCGACTCTCTAACTAAGGGAAATCAGGACTCCGACACGAACCCTAACACAACGGCAAGCAGTGTTGCTGGCGATGCCGCTCCCATTGATGGCCGGAGAAGGAGATCTGAGGCTTTTCAAATGAGGAAGAGCATATTTGGCAAGAAGCATGGGCGATTGGACGAGTCAAAGGTGGGTTTTGTGTGCAGCCTCACTGTGTTGGTACAGGCACTTACATTTGGCTCTGCGCCATCATAGGAAGACGACTCTATCCGAAGATTTCGTTATCTTCTTGGCCTCACCGATTTGTTCCGCCACTTCATCGAAACCAACCCCAACCCCCGAATTAAGGAGATCATGGCAGAGATTGATCGACAGAACGCTGAAGAAGACGCCAAGGCTAAAAAGAAGGGATCTTCGCGCACAGGGGGCGCAGGAAATGATAGACGTCGCCGAACCGAACAAGAGGAAGATGCCGAGCTGCTAAAAGACGAGAAAACTGGTGCCGGAACTGCTACGGTCTTCCGGGAATCCCCTCCCTTTATTCAGGGCGAGATGCGCGATTACCAGGTTGCAGGATTGAATTGGCTGGTCTCCCTACACGAGAACGGCATTTCAGGTATCCTGGCTGATGAAATGGGTCTGGGTAAGACATTACAGACCATTTCCTTCCTTGGTTACTTGCGACATGTCTGCGATATCACTGGGCCTCATCTTATCGCGGTCCCCAAGTCCACCCTTGATAACTGGAGGCGTGAATTTCACAAATGGACACCAGAAGTCAATGTCCTGGTGCTCCAGGGCGACAAGGAGGAACGTCATAAGCTCATCAATGAGCGACTTCTTGACGAAGATTTCGACGTTTGCGTCACCAGCTACGAGATGGTTCTCAGAGAGAAGGCGCACCTTAAGAAGTTCGCTTGGGAGTATATCATCATCGACGAGGCGCATCGGATCAAGAATGAGGAATCGTCACTAGCCCAGATCATTCGTGTATTCAATTCGCGCAATCGGTTGTTGATCACCGGTACACCCCTCCAGAACAATTTACATGAACTTTGGGCTCTATTGAACTTCCTATTACCGGATGTGTTCGGCGACTCGGAAGCTTTCGATCAATGGTTCTCCAGTCAGGATGCCGACCAAGATACCGTTGTACAGCAGCTACACCGCGTTTTGCGGCCCTTCCTTCTCCGTCGTGTGAAGAGTGACGTTGAAAAAAGCTTGCTGCCAAAGAAAGAAGTCAACCTCTATGTGCCTATGTCAGAAATGCAGGTCAAGTGGTATCAGAAGATTCTCGAGAAAGATATCGATGCTGTCAATGGCGCTGCTGGGAAACGCGAATCAAAAACGCGTTTGTTAAATATCGTCATGCAACTGCGCAAATGTTGCAACCATCCATATCTTTTTGAGGGCGCCGAACCCGGTCCTCCTTATACGACTGACGAGCATCTCGTGTTTAATTCCGGCAAAATGGTCATTCTGGACAAGCTACTTGCGCGCATGCAGAAGCAAGGAAGTCGAGTTCTCATATTCTCACAGATGAGTCGTGTGCTCGATATTCTGGAAGACTATTGTGTTTTTAGAGACTACAAATACTGCCGGATAGATGGTACAACGGCGCATGAAGATCGGATCGCCGCCATTGACGACTACAATAAGCCGGGTTCAGAGAAATTCATCTTCCTTCTTACAACAAGAGCAGGAGGGCTGGGTATCAACCTGACGACTGCGGACATTGTCGTTCTTTACGACAGTGATTGGAATCCTCAGGCTGATCTACAAGCGATGGACCGTGCCCATCGTATCGGTCAGACCAAACAAGTGGTGGTCTTTAGATTCGTTACAGAAAATGCTATTGAGGAGAAGGTCCTGGAGCGAGCAGCGCAGAAACTGCGCCTGGATCAGCTTGTCATTCAACAAGGCCGTGCTCAGCAACAAGTCAAGAACGCAGCCTCGAAGGATGAGCTGCTTGGCATGATCCAGCACGGAGCCGCAAACGTTTTCAACACAAAAGGTGCGGCTGGCACATTAGTTAATGACAAGCAGTTGTCCGATGATGATATCGATGCCATCTTGCGCAAGGGTGAGGAGCGAACTGCTGAACTCAACAAGAAGTACGAGAAGTTGGGTATCGACGATCTGCAGAAATTCAGCTCTGAGAGCGCATACGAATGGAACGGCCAGGATTTCACAGAAAAAAAGAAAGATATCGGTATTAACTGGATCAACCCAGCAAAGCGCGAGCGAAAGGAACAGTTTTACTCCATCGATAAATACTACCGTCAGGCGCTGGCCACCGGCGGAAGGACGGCGGAAACAAAGCCGAAGGTTCCACGCGCGCCAAAGCAGATATCCATCCACGATTGGCAATTCTTTCCCCCGGGTCTCCAAGAACTTCAAGAGAAGGAAACAGCTTATTTCCACAAAGAAATTGGGTACAAGGCACAGCTTCCTGAGGGCCCTGAAGAGGAGCTCAGTGAGCGAGAAGCTGAGCGTGACCTGGAGCAGCAAGAAATTGACAATGCTGTGCCGTTGACTGAGGAGGAACAGGCGGAAAAGGCCCGGATGTCCGAAGAGGGTTTTGCGACATGGAATCGCCGAGACTTTCAGCAGTTCATCAACGGGTCTGCCAAGTTCGGCCGTACTGATTATGAAGGGATTGCTACCGAAGTGGACAGCAAAGACGCAGCCGAAGTGGAAGAGTACGCTAAAGTCTTCTGGAAGCGATACACCGAAATTCAAGACTACCCCAAGTATATCCGTATTATCGAGCAGGGTGAAGAGAAGCTGCGGAAAATGAGCCATCAACGCAAGATGCTTCGCAAAAAAATGGAAATGTACCGCGTTCCTCTGCAACAGCTCAAGATCAACTACACAGTGTCTACCACCAACAAGAAGGTTTACACAGAAGAAGAAGACAGGTTCCTTCTTGTGATGCTGGATAAGTACGGAGTCGATGGCGAGGGTCTTTATGAGAAGATTCGCGATGAGATTCGCGAGTCTCCCCTTTTCCGTTTTGATTGGTTCTTTCTCAGCCGGACACCGGTCGAGATCGGCCGTCGCTGCACTACACTATTGAACACTGTCGCTAAAGAGTTTGAGGTTGGAGCGAATGGCGAGGCCGGCAAGGGCCGGGGACGTGATCGCGAAGAAGAGGACGAAGAGAACGAGGAGGTCGGCGCACCAGCCAAGAAGAAGAGCAAAAACGGCGCAGTGGTAAGTTGACTTGCTTTTCCCCGCAGGCGCATATGAATGGCAACTAACACGGTATGCAGAACAAACAGGTCAAGGCCGTCAAAAGTGGCAGCAAAGCAAATTCCGCGTCAACCTCACGAGCAGCCAGTGTTTCATCGACTACTGCATCCAAGTCCAAGAGCAAGAAAAAGTAATTCAGTCTTATCCTCCATTCTCGCTCCGATCAACAAAATCTTTATGACTATCCTGTACCTTATATTGAAGATTATTTGGCCATGGAATGGGTTGGTATTTTTTCGAGTGTTTGGTATGGCGTTAGCAATAGATGTCACCGACGAGTCGTGGTTCATGAAATTTCCTACTTCCATTTTTCCTACTTTCATTTGCGAAATGTGAATTGTACAACAGTACCTTTTCTGATCGGGAGTACTCGATATAGAAAAGCTATCAGATGTAGTAGTTTGTTGACCAAGGCTCCTCAGTCATACCATGGTAGTTGGCCTACTTTCTATGGCATTATATCATTGAGTTGTCCCACATGACTACACTTGGAGAATAAAGATATTAAAATACACTAGGGGTATTGTACAAGCTATATACAGATAATGGCTCTAATTCACAACTATTCCCTGATCAGTTATTCACTGTCTTCTTTGGCGCCACCTCAGTGATCAAGACCGGGACTCGCAGAAACTGTTCCATCAGAATTGCCGCAGCAACACTTACGTTGAGGCTGTCAACTCTGGCGGGATCCTTCTCATAACCCCACTCAGCGACGTTTCTCGCCCCGGGAATGCTGACAATCGAATCTGCGTGGGACTTGATATGGGCACTCAACCCAAACCCTTCGCTGCCCAGCATGATGACGCTAGGTGCTTGCGTGAGTGTGTTCCTGGTCAGGTCGATATCGCCGGATGTGTCAGAAAAACTAGAGCCCGGCATCGGTGCATCGGCTGCGAAGAATCGCCATCCGTTGGCTTTGGACTGCTGGATGAAGTGCACCTCGTTGCTGACTCTAATGAGAGGCATGTTTTCGGCGGCTCCGGCGGATGCTTTGATCGTTACCGGGGAGAGAGGCGCACAGTTTCGGCCAGCGAAGACAATGGCGTCAATTCCCAGATAATATGCAGAGCGGATGATGCCGCCAAGATTGCCAGTATCGGTGATCCCGTCGAGGAGAAGGACGACTGGGTATCTGGTTTTGCCTGGAAGATGGCGGACGGGAATGCAATTGTTCGTGCTGTTCACTACTGCTTCCTCCTTTGACTGGGGTGCTAGGATCACGCGGAACTCATGCGCGCCCAAGGTCGGAGCGGCGCAGAGACTCTTCACAGGCAGTTGTGGCAGAGGGGATGCGTCAAGTATACAGCCGTTGTGGGGTCGGCCAGAACTCATCTGATCGAACAGCCGGTCCCATCCCGCATATGCCATTTTCACCTTGATATTTTTGGAGAGGGCGAGTTTGCGTAGCATAGACCGTGTGGGGCCAAGCTCCTCGTTGTCTCCCTGATATATGTACAACTTGTACGGCTGGCGTCTGCCGCTGCGCAGCGCCGCCTCCACGGCGCTGCTTCCGTAGATAAATTCAGACGCAGGAGTGGTGTAGGGAACAGAATCAGGAACCAACACGTGTTTCTTCTTCTGCTCGGGTTCCCCTTCTGTGAAACGCTTCTCGCCCCTTTTCAGCCTGGATCGTTCTTGAAGATCCCTCTCCTTCCTCTGCTCTTTGATGGTCCTGGCCCGTTCGTCGGCTTGTATTCTAGGTCGCTTTGGTTCCGGTAAATTTGTGTCTTGTTTAGATTTGAGCCCACGAAATCTACCTGTCTTAATAAACTCGTCCTCGTCGAAAGCTTTTATGCCGACGTCTTTGCGACTCTCGGATCGACCAACATGCCTCCGGCTTTGATCTGAGTTACCTGTGGAGCTTTTCTGCGGTTGGTTTCTCCCTTCCGCGGACTGGGTCTTGCGGATGCCACGACCAATGGCCGAATTCAATGAGGCATTGCGAATGGAACGGAGTGGGATTGAAGGAGATCTCGATGGCTGCAAGCAGGTCCCGAGGGCTCTCAAGGGTGCATTCCAAAACATTTCAAGTGCAAGATAGAGTCAGGCAATAAACTGCCTTTCGATTATGAAGTTTTAGTAGCACATACTCAGTGACGAAGAAAATGAGGAAACTGTGTTCATAAATTGTTGTACCTTTCGAGCTTTCTGTCTTGAATTCTTTTTTCACATCAATCAGAAACTGATAAGATAAGCGCATCATCATTGTTCCGGAACAATTTCGCGTTGTCTTCTGACGCGTCGCTGAATGAACACCAATTAATAGGGACGTCCTAATATTACGCTTTTAAGCATGTCAAAGAGATTACCTGCAGTCAACTATCTCACTGACTTTGCATAGGCCTTTCTCATTTTCCTTCACCTTCTCATTTGTATTATGTGGTTGCTCACTTCTTTTCGTGTCTAATTAGTTCCTCTCCCTACTCTTTACATTACTCGTCGCCGAGTACTTTGTGTGTTGTGGAGCATCCCCTATTGAATGTAATGGAGCTATATCACGGAACAGAGTTTCATTCTAATGGAGACGATGACAACGAGGATCTTGTCGCGGATTTGCTAGCTAAATTCAATAGTTCGCATACGACGCATACTCAACGGGGAAGTCCTCAATCTACGCTTCGACCAGCACCTCAGCAAGTGTCTCATCAGCAGCAACCCCTCTCGCCAGATCCGATGCCTCGTGAAATGCGACTTGCTGCAGTCGAAATACCTCCCATCGCCAACCCAGAAGAGTATGAATTTCTTCCTGGTCATTTTGCGGTCCGCTGTGTGATCAGCGAAATATCACATCCTATAAATGAGCCCTCGTACCGCGTGCGGTTACGAAGTGGTGAATCGGACATAGTGAGACTCGCCTGACATATCTCTCACTATACTTGAGCTGATCATTCAACTTTCGTCTATATCTATAGGTCACCTTCTCTCACCTTCAGACACTAGACAACGGTCCCGAGGCACTGCTACATTTCCAGAACACTGATTACCGCTCGTCATCTCCCGCAACTTCTCACATAACGCTTCACTCCTCAGACAAGGAAGATGTTGAATCTGGAACCAGAGGTCGGCGATCTCGACGCACAAAGAACGCTAGCTTCGCGGATTTCTTTGGTCCGCTCAGCAGTGATGAGGATGAGTCTGTGAGGGATACTGCTTCAAGTGACGACATTATCTCTTCCTCTGCTATCACCTCAAGAATCCGCCGCCTCAGGAGAGGTGTCCGCAACCGCGTGTCACGCCGATCAAGACAGTCAAGTTCAGAGAGCGAGTACGCTGCACCTAGAGGCGAACGCTTCTCAACTCGTCAGCGGAAGACCTTGCGGCGGGATTTGCGTGAAAGGATGGAAGATGATATATCTGAGAAGGAAGACTTTTCAAGAGAAAAGAGATTTGTCGGAGCCAAGGAGATTTTTCAAAAGATTCCTTCAGACGATGCGTTCCGCCTTCGCCATCATGGCACCTGCGAGCTTTGTGGAATCGAAGGCGATGATAGCACCAGAGGTCCTCTTGTTTTCTGTCAGGGCTGTACTAGTGCCTATCACCAAGCCTGCTTAGGCCCCAGATCGAATCGTGATCATCTGGTCACCAAAGTGGCTGATGAACAGTTTGTTCTCCAATGCCGTCGCTGCATAGGAGTCTCCCATGCAAAGGACCCCATATCGCCCCATCAAGGTTGTTGTATGAAATGTAACGATCAAGGGAAGATGTCGAAGCCTCTCCGCGAGCGCTTGACACCGAAGCAAGAACAGCAGATTCGCCAGGACAATGATGGGAAAGATCCGATTACCCCTGTGGACATGACTACTATCAACAATGTGGACAATGTGCTATTCCGATGTACAGCTTGCCACAGAGCCTTTCACTTTGAACACCTACCTCCAATTTCTGACACGACCGATGATCCTCCAACGGCCCGCTTTGAAGAATACTCCTATACCTGGAAGTGCCATGATTGCTCATCAGTTCCCGGTGAGATCGGTGCTTTAGTTGCATGGCGACCAGCAGACAGCGGACTCGTTGGGTACACTGCGGACGCGGTGAAGGAAGTGGATAAGGAATATCTCGTTAAATGGAAGGGGCACTCCTACCACCATACGTCGTGGATGCCCAGCAGCTGGGTCTGGGGTATTGTTAACCCTGCTATGCGAAGGGCTTTCTTCAGGTCAGAGAAAAATTTGCAACCCCATATGACGATAGAGGAAGCGATCCCTGAGGACTTCCTGCGCGTTGACATTGTCTTTCAAGTGTATTATTCTGAAGAAGCGGAAGAGCGAAGCCTTGAGTCAGACCTTGAGAGGATTCACAAGGTGACCAGGGCGTACGTGAAATTCAAAGGCCTGCCGTATGAGGAGGCAGAGTGGGATTCCCCTCCTGATCCTAGCCAAACTGAACGATGGAATGATTTCAAAGCTGCCTATGAGGACTGGGTTAGACGTGATTACATCCATATGCCGGAACAAAATGCACTTCGGAAACATCTTGCTCACATTCGGAAGCAAAATTTCAAGTCTCAGATTGTCAGAGACACTCAGCCTGAGACAATGACCGGGGGGCAGCTAATGGACTACCAGAAAGATGGGGTGAATTGGCTATACTACATGTGGTTCAAGCAACAAAATGCCATCCTTGCGGACGAGATGGGACTAGGAAAGACTATTCAAGTTATTGGCTTCTTCGCGACTCTCATCCAGTACCACAAGTGCTGGCCCTTCCTTGTTGTCGTGCCGAACTCAACCTGTCCAAATTGGCGCAAGGAGATCAAGTCATGGGTTCCCTCCATTCGTGTCGTCACGTATTACGGTTCGGCATTCGCCCGCAAGTTGGCTCAGGAGCACGAGATGTTTTCCCAGGACGAGCCAGATCTTCGATGTCATGTTGTGGTCACATCCTACGAGACTATGATTAATGACGCGTCTCGACGGGTCCTCATGAGGATACCATGGGCAGGTCTGGTCGTCGATGAAGGGCAGCGCTTGAAGAACGACAAGAGCCAGATATATGATTCTCTGTCGCGATTCAAATTCCCGTTTAAGCTACTCCTCACTGGTACGCCCCTCCAGAACAACACGCGGGAGCTCTTCAATTTGCTTCAGTTCTGTGATCCCACCAAGGACGCTGCAAAATTAGATGAAGAATACGGCATACTTTCAAAAGAGAACATTCCTGAACTACACAACATGATTCGTCCATTCTTCCTGCGACGGACAAAGGCGCAAGTCCTCACCTTTCTTCCTCCCATGGCTCAAATCATTGTGCCTGTGTCCATGTCTGTTGTTCAGAAGAAGCTGTACAAGTCTATTTTGGCGAAGAATCCGCAGCTGATAAAGGCAATTTTTCAGAGGAACAATAATTCTGAAGGCGTTAAGCAGGCAGATCGCCATAATCTGAATAATATCCTGATGCAGCTTCGAAAATGCTTATGCCATCCTTTTGTCTACAGCGAAGCAATTGAGGAACGCACTGCTAATGCTGCTGCATCGCACAAGCACCTGGTTGAGGCGTCAGGAAAGCTCAAGCTACTTGAGATTATGCTTCCTAAGCTTAAGCAGCGAGGCCACAGAGTTTTGATCTTCAGCCAGTTCCTTGATAATCTAGATATCGTGGAAGATTTTCTGGACGGCCTCGGCCTGCTACATCGGCGCCTGGACGGACGAATGACTTCGTTGGAGAAGCAGAAATGTATTGATGAATACAATGCTGATAACTCGCCGTATTTCGCATTCCTTCTTTCCACCAGGTCCGGTGGTGTGGGAATTAATCTCGCCACGGCAGACACTGTTATCATCATGGATCCAGACTTCAATCCTCATCAGGACATGCAGGCACTTTCTCGCGCTCACCGCATCGGTCAGAAGAATAAAGTGCTTGTCTTTCAGCTTATGACTCGTGGAAGTGTCGAAGAGAGAATTATGCAGATTGGCAAGAAGAAGATGGTCCTTGATCATGTTCTCATTGACCGGATGGTCGCAGAGGAGGATGATGGGCGGGATTTGGAATCTATATTGCGTCACGGAGCCCAAGCACTGTTTAATGATGATGACTCGGGAGACGTCCAGTACGATTCGGAATCTGTTGACAAGCTCCTTGATCGTAGTCAGGAAGAGCAAGTGAAGGCGCCTGACGAAAGTGCGCCGGAGTCTCAATTCAGCTTCGCCAAGGTCTGGGCGAATGACAACCAAAATCTGGAAGGCCAACTTCAGGACACTGAAGATAAAGGTGAAGATCCAGCGATCAGTAATACGCTATGGGAGAAGATTTTGCAGGAGCGTGAGCAAGCGGCTGCAGAAGAGGCCAGGAGAAAGGCAGAGACGCTGGGTCGCGGCAAACGAAAGCGAGCGGCAGTAGACTACGGAAAAGACACGACGGAGGTGTCGCCTGTGAAGGTTCGCCACGAGGCCGATAATGACGTTGAATACAAGGCGGACGAGGCCATAGAATCGGAATCAGACAATGACCCTGGGATGGATTCTGATGAGATGGGCCGGCCCACCAAGAAGTCCAAAGGTAATGCAGTTTCCCGCCTGAGCCCTGATTCCTCGGTACTAACCACGCGACAGTCCGCCCCTTCAAGCGTATCACCGAAGAGGATGAAGTCCCTGCATACGGTGCAACAGGCATGGACGGCAATGTGGAGGTGCGTCACCCGCCCTGCATTGTCTGTACCAAGCATCATCCGGTGGGCTCTTGCCCCTTGAAGCAGGCCGGCGTTGAACATTGTGGTCTATGCGGGCTTGCGCATTACGGAATAGCGCGTACTTGTCCTCACCTTCGGTCTGAGACGCAAGTGGCAAGGATGTTAGACGCTCTGAAGCACAGCACTGAGGATCGCGAGCTTATTGAGAAAGCCAAGAAATACCTGCAAGGGATTCGCGGCTCCCTTGCACAGCGTCGAAGGATTTTGGCCAGTAGGGCTGCAGCGAGCCACACCAGTAATGGAGTTCCTGGTACAACCAACACCGGTCCTACTGGGTCGCCCGTTATCGATCTGACCGGTTACCCGGCAGGCCATGGAACAACGCCCTTCAGCCCGAGTCAACCAGGACAAGGATTCTCGACATCAGAAAGATAATCTGTGCTGGTTTTTCTGTCCTTTTTGCGCTCTCTGACTCTCTGTGGCATGGGAATGAACTGGAATGGGGTTCTTACATAGGGGTGGTTGCATCAATGGCGTACATGGGAATTGGAATGGAATTTTTCTACGACTTTGATACCATGATGTACTTTAGTTTACACACTTTAGATCAGCATGAGAACGTCCATTCGAAATCTATCATGCAAGTCTTGAGCTTGGTAAAGTAAGCTGGCGGGCTCCACAGTTCCAACAGAAGACATCCTCAGTAGTCAAATGGCGGAGCCTTATATCCCGAACAATCTGCCTCAATCATGGGATCCGCCATTAAAGAAGACAATGAAGACGCTGAAATAAGACAATCACAAAAAGAACTAGGCCCTTCTTTACCCTTCCAGAACACCGTTGACCTTTTTAGAGGAAGGCCCAGGGGGAAAAAGAAAAAGCAAAGAAGGCGAGTGGGAGAGCAAACTGCAGCCATCCGTTGAGCTGTTGTACCGATGCCAACACCATATGGTCTAGGATGGAGGCAAACAGTCAATGCTTTTTTTAAGGGACTAAGCTTGAGGCTTTTTTCTTCTTGTTCTTTTGAATGCTTTGAATCCTAAAGAAAAGTGGTTCCCTTTCTTCCCTCTGGTTCATTTATTGTCGTTCACTGTCTTTTCTAGGAGCTTGGTCGATATAGTCTTTTTGGTCTTGTATCCAGACTTTGGGATAGCTTCATCCCGTCTGCTTATATACCCTTTTTTTTTTTTTTCAGGCAGCTGATTTTTCCTTCTCTTAGATGTTTTTCTTGAAGCCGCTATATACACTGCTATCATTGATTTAGTAGATTCATCCATATTGTGATCACAACACATAGAAGGTAGTGTGCTGCTTCAGCCTCTGCCCTATTCAGCAGTGAATGTCCATCTCGCTTCACATCGCACACAGAACATCAAAATACCTCACGAGTATTCACTCAGCAATAGACGCGAAAAATATCCTGCCTGACCTCTTCTCACCTCCGTCTTTTTCTCTCTCAACACCCCACCCTCTGCAGAGCTTTTTCATCAACATTCCACTGCAAAGCATCTCTCAAGACCACATCTTTGATAACACCTCAGCTCTTCTGAGTTGTAGGCCTTTCTGAGCGTCAGAGTCAAGCTCAGGAGAGCGAATCATCACGTCATGTCCTCCCCTCTGCGTCCTCAGTTTTTCTGCGCCAGACCTAATGGTACCCTTGTTCCTCTTATTGCTGTTGACGAGCTTCCTATCCATATCAATATTCGTTCGGTACCACGCGTTCTTTCTCCAGGTGATACCCAGGGTATGACCAGCCTTGGTACCGTGGGCCCTCGTTGCTCGTTCTATGTTGTGGAGAGTACTCTTCCCTTCTCTCGTTTCCAGTTTCCAGTCGATGTCCCCAATGTCCCCGGCCAGCGTGCCAGGGAGTATGGCAACCAAGGTCAAGGCCCCGCGCCCAGATACATGCCGGATGAGAACGGTGTTGCTCCCCAGCAGCGTCTGGCTATTCAGCCTATGTATCCTCAGGGCAATGGTCAGAACTGGGTGATGCCTACTCCAGCTCCTAACCACGGTTGGATGGTGCCCGCTAATATGGGTACTGCTCCTAATGCTGGCACTGTTGCTGGTCACGCTGCTGGTCACGCTGCTGGAAACAGTGGCGGAACCCCCAGACAAGTGAGTCGTTCCTCAGTCTCAGAAATGGAGCAAGGCCAAGACTGACTATGGCGTAGGGCTGTCATCAGAAGAAGGAATACTGCTCTTATTGGATCCGTCACGGTGAGTGCGACTATCAGCAGCAAGGTATGGTTCAATCCATGACTACAGGGGATTGACAAGTGAGGACTGACGATCATGTAGGCTGCCTGTTTAAGCATGAGATGCCCACCGATCGCTCCATGCTCGAGAAGCTTGGTCTGCGCGACATTCCCCGTTGGTACCGTGACAAGTACAACGTCCCAAGCCTTTTGTCTGGCGGAGGCAGCCAGACCCGTGAGTCGCGCGGTCTGGCCGGCCTGCTCGATGACGCTGCTTCCGACCGCGGTGCTGCGAGGGGCTCTCGTTTGGCAATCAGTGCAACTGCTGAGCATTCCGATACTGAAAGAAGTAACAAGGGCAAGGGCGCTGTCTCCATGCACCAGCCGACTCCTCTTGCGCTTCCAGGCCGCTCCAACTTCAGCAATGTCAGCTCGCCTAGAACTTCTGCTCACTCTCACGGTTCCAAGCAAGCACAGAGTGCACAGCTTCAGACTTCTAGCTCACACGTCCGCAACCAGGGCGGCCCAGTGCATGCTTCCGCATCCCAGAATCGTGTTCCGAATGTGCACAATAAGAAGATCGACCTGCTCTCCTTCGATCCCCCTCCGGACTACACATCCGCCGATCTGAGTCGTTCTGGTCAACAGATTATTTCTGATCCCAAAGAGCGTGCCAAGCGTGACGAGTTCTTGCGTGGCCTGCATGACATGTTCGCAGCTACCACCGTGCCTGGAAAGACCAACACGGTGCCCGCCGATACGGACGTCTTCGCCAGTCAGCCTCGCACTAAACGCGTGCAACCCAAGTCTCGTCGCCTGTTCCAAAACCGTCCTCCCGCTCCTAGTGGAGGCACGGAGACCAGTGCCTCGGATGCCGACCAGATTCGCCAGCAGAGTGTCCGCCTCTACAACCTTGCTGCTGAGGCTGTCAAAGACTTCGATGATGACGATGACTTTTTTGTGGATCCCAAGTCCGGCGTCGTGCAGGGAACTCCCAGGTCCTCCGAGTCTCCCCGCCACCGCCGCTCGTCCTCGACCGAGTCGTGCCTCTCGTGCTCTGAGCCCAGCCCTACTGCCTACCTCAACAGCCGCGCCGGAACCAACGACGGCGACGGACGTCTCAAGCCGCTCCTTCCACCTATCGGCGTGTTCACTCATAAGAACCCTACCGTCCTCAAACGTCCCGCCGTCTCCTCCGACGACATTTTCGGCATGGGCGGAGGACGTGCCAAGTAACTCCATATAAGAGAGAATTCTTGCCCGGTTCGTGTCAGTCACGAATGTCTCTTGCAGTCGGTCTCACCCTCGCGTGACGGCAAGCGGACTGTGGCCTCTCTTCTCTTTTTAGTCACTTCCCCCTTATGATGCCACGCCAAGCTGGTCTGGGTGGCTCATCCAATATTCACTCACTCGCCCATGGTTAAATATACCCACCACTCGATGGCGGAGGGCAACATGGAGAATGGATGTCATTCAAGTTGATAACGTCTGCATGGACACCGATATTGTGGACATTCGTCGACGGTTTGACATCTTTCCATCTTCACATTTCCGATTCCTGGTCTCGTCCTTGTTGTCTCTCTCTCTCTCTCTTGATGTCGTTGGGTGGCTTTGAGTCTTCAACCGATTATTTTAATTACGAACAGAGGAAGGATATGAGATTGAACTGCTAGTTTGGAGGTTCTGAACGAAACCATCGCGAGGTGGATGAGTTGAAGTTGGCTTTCGACTTTGACCACGCCGGGATTTTGTTCTCGTGACTTTTGACCTTGGGCGGATCTCTCGTCGTCCTTCCGTGTCTGTCGTCTGTTATAACGACGGTTGAGGGGTATCTATATCTTTAAATAAAAATTACCAAAAAAAAGGGATTGCCTTAATGACATATGATGGTTGATTGCTTTTAACTTGCTGGAAGCTTTTCTCTGATTCCTCTTTCATCGTACAGGCATGAAGCAGAAACATAGGTAGAATACTTACATCCCGGTAATAAAAGGTGGGAAAAGCTGTATGAAGAAGAATATTGTACAATAGTGTAAGTGATAGTCTATACGACCGTTTGACATGTGCGCCCGCCCTTGATATTTTCGAACTCAAATCCAACGCAAAGAAGACATCCATCGAATACATGAACCAGACAAGTTCAATACACTCCCGCAACCAAGGGTCTAACGGACTCTCTTCTTCAGGACCTTGGCTCCAACTTTGACAGCAACCTTCTCCCGCTCCTCGGCGGCTCTGGCGCTCAAGGCAGGGTTCAATGAAGGCAGTGACAGAGTGGCCTGTGCAACGATGGCGTTCCCATCCACGACCGCCCGCCGTGTTTGCTCGTTGATCTGTCTCTCTCTCCGTGTGGCGGCGAGTTGCTTCCTCCGCTGCTCTGTCATGGCCCAGGACTCGGGGAAGCGCAGCTGAGTCTTGGGCTTGTGATGGCGGAGGTCAAGAGGGATGTCCGCGAAGGAGTCGCCTTCTTTCGCCTCTTTGATCAGTGTGTTGACAATGTCGCCCAGGTATCGCTTGTTCTGGGCGCGCGTTGTGAATTTCTCGCAGGACATGCGTACAATGTCTGTATCGGGGTTGTAGCGTGTTCCCGCGAGTTTAAGGAAGGTCTGGCGCTGTTCCTCGGAGAGGTACTTGGGGACAAGATCCTTGCTGGCCAATTCGACGACCACCTTGCTCTCGGCTGGATGCTGTTCACCCATGTACGTGGTGTAGCGGAAGCGAAGGATGTGAGTTTCGGGAGGAAGGGTGAAAGGTTTGGCGAGTTCTAGGGATCGGAGGCTCAGATTAGCATTGAACCATAGTCGCTTAGAAATGTTGGAACTTACTGCTCAGTAAAGGCATATCCCAAGCTGCAATGCGAGCATATTCACGAATCTCGCGGTGCAGTTCGACTTCCGCGTGGGCCATGGAGGTGATTTCGTCGTCGTGGAAATCGTCGTCTGCGTCCTCGACAAGACCGAATTCATCGTCTTCCTCCTCGGCCCAGAAGCCCCGGGACTTGTCCGGCACATCCTCAAATCGCAGCCCTACTTCCTTCTCTATGTCTCTCACACTTTTTTCAATCTCCGCAAATGCGGCCGCTCGCGCTTGCGGGTTGTTGAATTCTTCGATCATCCGACGTTGCTCCGCGTCAAAAGCCTCCCGTTCCTCCGGGGATAGCATATCATACATTGACCGCTCCTCCTTGCTGAGGATATCTGGCGAGTACTCCGACACGTCAGGCAATTCATCCTCCGGCGAAGGTTCTTTGGTAATTGGCGGATCTTCCGGCATGAATTTGAAGGGTGTGACAGAGAATGAGCGGGATTGAATAGCAGCAGGGCCTCTCCGAGCGACCGAGAAGGCCGTACGGCCCAAATATCTTGCGACAAAGGCCATTGCGGGCGAGATTGGCCGTGGGGGGTTGTCGAATTCCTCCTGGGATTTGGATGTCGGAGATGTTTTCTGCGGATGAACTTCGCATGGCAACGCTAAGCCCAATCGGGCTAAGCGCATTCACTGCTGCCATCATATCAATGCATCACTCCCAAGTACTGCAACAACCATTGATCACCTCCTTTGTCTGACCTTGATGTTGGTTGATAACGGACTTGCGTATTCATTCAAAGGGCATATCTAGCTTAGGAGCTGAAATGCTTCTGCAGCCCTGTCAAGGCATCGATCAAATTCCCTGTCAAACAGAGCTCCTGGGAACTTAGTTTGCAGTCATGTCAGCGAAGCTCCCGATCAAGGTATGCTTTGTGACAGTCGGCGCAACCGCCTCTTTTGAAGAGCTTGTGCGCGCTGCGCTAGATCCCTCATTTGTGACGGCCCTGGAGAAAAATGGCTATTCGCATTTAATGGTTCAATACGGCAAAAATGCGGCGATTTATCATAATTTCCTCAAGCAGTATCCACCTGAGCGCAGGCCCTGGCACAGAATAGATGTCGGTGGGTTTTCCTTCCACGAGCATGGGCTGGGAGGAGAGTTTGCATTGGCTCAGGCAGACATGAGTAAAGGACGAAGTGGTGGGTTGGTTATCAGTCACGCAGGTATTGATCATCTTTCTTGGTCGTTACTCACCTCTGGCATCTTCTGATATCTGACCTGGGATGCTTGTCAGGATCTGGCACTATTCTCGAGGTGTTACGGATGGGCATCCCGCTCATCGTTGTGCCCAATCCTTCTCTTCAGGACAACCATCAAGAGGAACTAGCGCGCCAGTTACAGAAACAAGGATACGTGGTTGCTAGTCACTATCAGTAAGATTCAGGTTCCTCTATATGGGCTACTTTGCTAATTATCTGGCAGAAATCTTTGCCAAGCACTGCAGCAGGCTGAACAACTGCGAGCTCGCATGTTAAGGTGGCCGCCTGTGCGTGGCCCTGGCCAGAAAAACCAGCCGACACTGGAGCAAGTAATGTCTGACGAGATGGGATTTGTGGATTGAATACCGTCAACTCCCTTATGAATAATGATTTATGCTACCTCTTGGCTACTTCCATATTGAACTGTGACACGTCGCCGCTACTCCTTCACCCTTGGTGCTTCTACTGTTGGAATTGCTCCAACCTTGGCCTCAGGATATCTGGTACTAGCGTTTTGTGCCTCCTCATCCATGGGCTTTGAGGCAGATTTGTTGGTCGATCGAGCCGTGTGGTCAGATAGAGGAAAGGCACGATACCTTGTTTTGTTTAGTGGACGACCGTTCACGAACGTTGGATTTTGCCCGCTTAGGTATTTATATTGTTTTAAAGCCTTCAGAATCCGCCATCGTCGTGTTTTATGATAAATTTTTGTTTCGCGGCGGATAGTCGTAGAAGTGCTTCTGTAGCAGCGATAGTCGGCTGGCCCAAGCTCCTTGTTGATGGGAAACTTGAGCGGACGCGAAGAGTTGCGGGATTCAACATCCCCTCTAAAAACATCTATTTTGCCTACAATCGCCAGTGTCCACGCCGATGACTTAAAACTCAATTCACAAGCTGCCAGTTATAATCTTTCGCATCTACCGGTCTTACGAGTCACAACCAGCAAGAATAGGCCTCAGGGCCATTGTCACGGCAATTCGCGCCGCCTCCCCCCTACCGACTTCCTCCCCAAACACAACCCTTCTCCTCACAGAATGGCCGAGGCAACCCTTCACAACGCCCCCATTGTCATTGACAATGGCAGCGGCACAATCCGCGCCGGTTTCGCCGGAGAAGAGATCCCCTCATGTTTCTTCCCCTCGTTCGTCGGGCGGCCAAAACACCCCCGGGTGATGGCCGGCGGTCTAGAGGGCGACGTGTTTATCGGGCAACGAGCACAGGAATTGCGCGGGCTGCTCAAGATCCGATACCCACTGGAACACGGCATCGTGACGGACTGGGACGACATGGAGAAAATCTGGCACTACGTGTACGAGAACGAGCTGAAGACGCTACCGGAGGAACACCCCGTCCTCCTGACGGAGCCGCCGCTCAACCCGCGCAAGAACCGCGATGTCGCCGCCCAGATCATGTTCGAGACGTTCAATGTGCCGGCGCTGTATACCTCGATCCAGGCGGTGCTGTCGCTGTACGCGTCCGGACGCACGACGGGCGTGGTGCTGGACTCAGGGGACGGGGTGTCCCATGCGGTGCCTGTGTTTGAGGGTTTCGCGATCCCCAATAGTATACGGCGGATTGATGTTGCGGGGCGAGATGTCACGGAGCAATTGCAGCTGCTGCTGCGGAAGAATGGGCATGTGCTGCATACGAGTGCGGAGAAGGAGGTGGTGAGGATGATCAAGGAGAAGGTCTGCTACGTGTCCTTGGATCCGAAGCGGGAAGAGAAGGACTGGATGAACAGTTACCACAAGTCGGAGGCGAAAGCCGTCGACTACGTATTGCCAGATGGGCACAAGATCAAGGTCAGCCCCCTCTACAATCAAGTTTATGGGGACCCGAGCTAACCAACCAGGATAGATCGGACAAGAGCGCTACAGAGCCCCTGAGATCCTATTCGAGCCTGAACTCATCGGACTGGAATACCCCGGCGTTCATCAGATCGTCCAGGACGCCATCACCCGCACAGATCTCGATCTCCGGAAATCGCTATACCTCAACATCGTCCTCTCAGGGGGCTCAACACTGTGCAAGAACTTCCCCGACCGCCTAATGCGCGAGATCAAGAGATTGGCCGTGGAGGACATGAAGATCCGTATCTCTGCGCCTGCAGAACGGAAATACACCACCTGGATCGGCGGTGGTATCCTCGCCGGGCTCAGCACATTCCGCAAGGTAAGTCCAAGTCGAACTCACCCCAAACCCAATACCCAAAACAGACCAACTAACAGCTCCCTCAGATGTGGGTAAGCGCAGACGAATGGCACGAAGACCCGGAGATCATCCACAGGAAATTCGCCTAAACATTCCTCTCACATGAACAAACGCGGTGATCACGAAGGGCCGAGTCGTCTTTGTCCTTTTCTTTCCTGTCTTCCGCCTTCTGGCCCATAAACGCCAGACCAGCCGCCACCAAGTCCGGCGGGCTCAGATCGAGTCGAACCACTAATTGTACCGGCTAGGCTTGGGCTTTTGATACCCTTCTTCTTCCCTCTCTTCTTGAGCCATTGATGCATCGTTCAATCATATCACGCACTATACCTTTCTTTTCTCTTGATGTTGGGCACAATGCAACATACCACATGATAGCGCCTCAATCTACATGCATGAAATCCATGTCCCACTGCCGAAATTGATCAAAGAGCAAGTAATTTACATCACGCTTGAGTGGGCGGTGGTTGCGTTCAGGTAGTGTTTGCCCTGTATCAGCGGGGGCCGTCTGAAGGCAGATGTTGTACATAATAGACATTGGAATATAGACGGAATGAGCGACCATGTCGTACGAGTACGGGTACTTCGGTGGGGTTCTAAGTCTAAGGGTGATATGACTACGGACAAGTTACTGTAGAGCATACAAGGTAGAGCAAAGATCCACAGAAATCTGTTTCCTGTTTCCAATTGGTGTGGCCAACGCCAGTGGTACGCTAAGATACATGAGGGATGCAGATGCAGATGGCCTCCCCGACGCCAATCCAAAAATCTGGCATGGCAAACACGCTGAATAGTTTTGAAGAAACAGAATGGTATGAGTGATGGGAGATGGGCGGCAGCGGATGTTGAAAATCCTTGGGGAATCATAGACAAAGAAGCTCATTTCAGATGTGTCGACAGAATAACTAGGGGTATCAGGTCGATACAGTCATGTTGAAGCAGAAGGATAAATTGTAGCCGCGGATTGTCGGCCAGGACGCTCCACAGCAATCACATTGCATGAACGATGTTGAAGTTGGATTAAGAAAAGCGTAGGTGATAGTTTGACTTCCCAAGGAGATAATAATCGAAAAAGGAGAAACTTTTTTTTTTTTTGTTGCTGGTCGTAAGTCGTCATGTCGTTAGGCGCAGCGCAGCGCATTATGCAAAAGGGAATGGCGACCCCTTAAGCCACACCCCTTATCTTTCCCCAACCCTTCTCCAGGCCACGAAGAGCCTTTTCCCGAGCGGAGCCGGTGCTGCTGGCTGATGCAGTGCTGCTGGAAGAGAACTTGCGAGTGAGGATGCTGCTGCCACTACTGCAGCTATCACTGTAGATCATGTTGCCGGCACCTCCTCGGCCCACATGGTAGACAGGAGCGGCGCGGCGCAATTCCCGTTCCAGTTCCTCGTCAAAGCTGAAGATTGCCCGTTCGCTGCTGCTGCGGACATTCCCTGCGCCGCCGCGGCCGGACTGGAAGGTACGCGGGACATTTGAATCCAGGCGCGTTAGGGAGGCGGGGCCGGTGGCTGTTTGCGAATCGGTAGTCTTGGTGTTCTTCAGGCTGATGATGTTGCCAGCACCTCCACGAGCTGTATGTAGGGCTGGACGGCTGGTATGAGGAACGGACGGGTGAGGTTCAATGACGCGGTAGTTCATTTTCGGCATAATGTAGGTAGTGATGGATGTCCTTTGACTGGATTATACTCGAATCAAGCTCGTGGTATGCAGATCGTGCGATTGACTCAAGAGCCAACTCTCAGCAAAGAACCATCTAATGGATGAAGTTCAACGTCTAGTCTATAGCTGACGTGACCGCGCGGAAGTATAGGCGACTTCAAGCAAGCAGAAACAGGATGCTCGAATAGCAAGTAGACAAGTTTGTATAGATTGAAGACGTGAAAGAGAGAATGTTAGCGCTGAGTATTGGAGGACGCGAGGTAATAAGGAGAAGAAATTTCTTTGTTTGCTGGATGGGACTGTATAGTATGGGACCCAAACATTCTGGCGGGGAAGGTTTTATATAGTTATGCCCCCTTGTGCCGTCATGGGCTACCATCATTGCACCAAATTGCACCATTTAGTGGCTCAGCTGGGGCCCTCCTTGCCAGGCACAAGAGTCACGGACAAACCTAGAGGGTCACACGCGGTGCTGTTTGTGGATATTGGATAACCAAGTGGAGTTGGCGGTTAGTCGTCGTCGTCAAAACCAAAAAAATATCTCCCCAGCGAAAATTCTCTCATGGTCGACGTATCAGGTAAAGCCTCCGAGAGTATGCGCGCGGTTCTTCGGCAGGCTGTAAGGCGGCAGCAAGAATAATTAGCTGACTCAGCGCCGCAGCAACCAATCACGAGCGACAATGCGGGAATTGTGTCAGCAGGTCAGTCTCCTATTGGGTAAAAAGTCCATGTTGCAGCCAACTGTCCTTGCTGCTTTAAGAAATCCCTGGAGATCATCTGACGAGCACACCGGCCCTACGAGGGGTGGCAAACGTAACAGAAACGGCCTTTGGAGCCAATCATATGCGCTCTCTGATTTTCTGGGGGTAATGGAAATTCCTGGATGGTCAGTCACGAGTCGCTTGAGCACTCGCCTCCTTCCCAAAAGGCCACCGAAGGAATCCAGCTGTCGGTCACGATGAGGAGAGCAGATGGTTCTAGACATGGTAGAATGACGAAGTTTCCACTTCCTCCTCCTCACCGTCTCCGTCGATGCTTCAGATCCTCTCCGTTGGCTATTGCGTCGCAGTTCCTGGAGGCTTGATCATGCGGCAATTAAGGTAGTCTCGTGGCATCTTTATTTGGACAATGCTGCATGGGGAATCTCAGACAATCGTTCCTCACCATCTACAACAGATTCTACGTAGTATAAGATAAATGTAACATGGCCTATTGTTATTGGACTAGGTTTGAGGCGTAAAGAAAGCGGACAAAGCAAAGAGAAACAAAATAAAAAAGCCCCGCATGTACCGAATCCATGTACAATGGCATCATTCCGGTCGTAGAAACTACCATCTCTTAGGACATTTCATGCCATCATTAATCTCCATGGCAGGCTGCAGAATATTCTCCCCGTACCTACCCCTTTCTGAGGATGAGCACTTGGTGATGGAACTACTATCATAGCACTATTTTCATGGCAGACAATAATTAATCCCTTCACTGAGTCTCAGGAGACTGAGGAGAGCAGTCTTCAATAGTGTTGTACTTGGCACTTGTAGATCCGACTAACCTTGCTCGAGTCTAGCGCCAAGATCAAGTCAGGGACGATCTGTCAAGGATGAAGACTCTTAGAATCTTCTCAATCTTGGATTCTACCGTTTCTACCAAGTATCTATCTACTTCATTCTGAGGCAATCCTCATCCGTTTCACGGAAGGAGCCATTTCGTAATTGATACCGTCATAATTGCTACCTCGATCATACCTTACTTGGGCTTTTCTGTCGAGGCACCTCAGATAGGTATACTCCGTAGAACAGACACTAGGCTCAAAGAGGACAGCTTTCCCCAGACCGGAAGAAGCCTGGACTGCAGACAGAGGTGGGTCTCAAGAAATGACGCACGGAAGGGAAAATTTTTTTTTTTGCTCTTTTCTATTTTTCTCCTCTGTTACCCACTTCCTCTGGTCCAATTAATTCCCCCTGAGGGGGAGCAAATTTTCTGCAACTCCAACCGGCAAAACTGCGCTTTTCCTTTACCAGTCGTCATTCCAACTTGACAAAACGGACAGTCACTGGTGGTTCTCGCCGAGTGACCACTGACCAGTACCAGCAACCGGATCCCCTTACCGGCGAATGGCCGGTCCATCCAACTCAAACCAAACGCTCCAGCCTGACAAGATGAAACAGGCAATTGCCTTCCCCGGATTTTCCACCCCCATACCATATGGGCTGGCACCACCAGCAATCAGCATCCCGTGATATCTCCCCGTGATCTCACCAGCAGAATATGTATTATTATTTAGTGCGTTCTAAGGGTTTGGATACCCCTTGTGGCAGCCGGTCTCCCTTTTCCCCTAGGTTTAAATCCTCCTGCTCTATTTTGAGGTAGTCTCCGGAGTACTGTAACTGTTTGGGGACTCGGGCTTGGTCAAACTCCAACTGACTACAGCAGAACAACTATACTTTCTGCTCTCTGCAGTCGGAGATTACCTTCCCAACAAAATTGCCCCGTTACTCTCCACTGATCCATTTGCGACGAGTGTAGCACCAGCATGCACATCAGCATCCAGTGTCACAGTTGTACGAAACTGCATACACATCCCCAATATGCGGCATTTCTTTTCTCCTTGCATCATCCTGCGGAGTTGGAGTCGTCAAGTCGTTATTAATATTAGCTAAAGCCTGAAGATCAGAAGGACTAGAATCCTGCAGCCGGCGTAATCTTAAGTAACAGAATGCCCCGGTCTGGGGCCGGCTTGGGGGTTCTAACCGCTCCGGTTTCTAGCGACTGGTTAATCTCCCGCCTCAAAGTCAGTTTGTCACTCAAATCAGCTGAAGCGGAGTGGGAATGTGACTATGGTGGTCTCGATAAATCCCTCTGTTTCATCCTAGATCACGTCATGGCGACTTGTCCATTAGGTTTGCGTGATTTATGCAACGTCTCCTGTCGTTAGGGTTCGGGTAACCCGCATCTACTCTGTGCTAGGCTTTCATACTAGGACTCGCACTAGTAGGACTACGCTCACCAGCAATCAAGTAGAGAAGAAATCAACGATGGGTATCAATTATTGCGTGAGACATAAGCCAGGAAGAGTAGCAATCACCGATATGACCCCGCAAGTCTATATATAAAGCAAGATTCCACAGCCAATCGCAGAAGTCATCCAATAAACAGGAACATTCATCACTCCCGTGGAAATATAGCCAGTCAAAACGAAATCAAATACAGAATCCCCCCTCACATCGTCTGATAGACCCTGAAACTTCGAAACTCCCAATAAGCCTGCGAGAAATTCTGCGGATTGCGAGCGACAAACTCCTCACATGTTGCCGGACAATCGTACAAGTCCTTGTAGTCTTCTTGTTGGGCGCCCATCTCGCCGCACAGATCAATGTTGACGATGATGCTCTGGTTGCTGAAGTGAGACGGGATGTCACAGTGCGTGCTGGGAAAGTCAGCCAGAGCCGTCCCCCAAGAGGACGGGTCGGGTCTGCGCTCCGTATTCGAGATATCGTCCGGGATGGAGTCGCGAAGGAAAGCCCAGACTCGGATTCCTGCTTCTCGGAGTTCGACCGCGTATACCTGCAACGGGTCAGTGTTTTGATGCTTGAGAGGCAGAGGACGGGAGCCATACACCACCGCCATTCTCGTTGAACTCCTCGCCATACGTCGCCGGGCGACCCTGGACCGCACAGCCCGCGTTCCCGTGCGCATCGTCGCAGGTTGAGTACTGCGCGCTGCCCAGCTGCTTCCGTCTTCCCTTGACGCTGCAGCCTTTATCGGTGTGCAGGGTGACTACGTTGCCTTCCGTAGCTCTGTTTGTTGTTTCGAGGACGTCGATTTCCCCGTGGAGCGGCCAGTTGTATGTGTCCGCTAGCCACAGGGCGGGCCAGGTTCCGCAGCCGTAAGGCGTGTGGATGATGTCGAAGATGAATAGTCCCGTGTCGTAGCCTTTTTTGGACTCGAGTCGGACGGACTTTCTGCCTCGAGGCGCGTAGCTGGTTGTGTTGTCGACTCTGATGCTCACAGAGGAATTTGTAGATTCTATCAAGCTGAGGGATTCTGCTTGTTCGCGATCGACATACCTGTAGATTGTAAGCGCGATCTCAACGCAAGATGGTCTAAGGTTGTTTACTTACTCAACGAATCCATCGGTAGGGTCCTCGTCTGTGAAGTGCCAGAAATGATCAAAGAAGGAGGATGGGTGGTACTCATCCACCAGGGAATAGTCAAGAGGTAAGTAATCTGGATATCGAGTATCCCTCGTTCCTAGGACAGCGCCTACTATGATTCCAGCTAGAGCTGCAACCACTGCAACAGGGACGAGGATCTTGACTGCACGGGGCCATCCCCTGGGGTTGCAGCATGAATGCTCAGCTGGACTGTCGTCCTTGCAAGGTTTATTTGGCTGAATCTCATGGGACGTTGGATTTCTCTCGACCTTGTACAATGCCTCTCCTTGGTAGAAACCGCTTGTGTCGGCCATGGTTGCTAATTTCTGATGTTGATGTTTTATGAGACTTGCGAGTATGAAGCAGATGCAGCACACTGCAGTCTGTCAATGAAGAACATCTTGACAAATCGACGCCATCATGAATCACAGCTGAGATGATTTGAGAAGTTCCCCGGATCCTTCGAGATGCTCAGCCACAGATCAACTTAACTATGAAGAGTGGTTCAGGCAGAAACATTGTGAGAACCATCAGATAACGCTACTGATCTACTAAGCATGAGCAAAACAGCTTCAATAACTCTTGTCATATAATATGGCCAAACGGGTATATCGTCCCTTGAGTGAGAGAGCAAGTAGGATGACCCTTTCGCTCGGCTCACGTATTCCATGACTTATTTTGGACAAGTGATGGTAAACATTGCTAAAGATTTAGCTCGCAATTCCTCCAAATTGCCATGGTTTTGACCCAGTGGTTTAAATAGCATGAGCCATGATAATCGACTAAATATCGTCATTATTGCGACCTCATAACATGGTGTTGTTTTCCCCTTGACACCTTCGAGCCTGAGGCCATCATCATATTCTGCCACTTTACACCGCTCTGATAACCTCGTTGGATCGAATCTCTCCGCTCCGTAGCTAAATTTACTTGCGACAATGCTTTGATTAACAACCAGACTTTACAACTGGAATATTGACAAAAAAGACAAAATTACTGCAATCTGAGAGCTGCTCATTTGATCAGCAAGATCTGTGTTGACTCAGCGCACGATCTTCGTCCGACGCGCAACGCGCCTTTTGAGCGCCACCCATCGAACTTCTCCCATACTATTGCAGAAGCGATCGCTTCTACAATTGAAAATGCCAAAATATAAGTATCTCTTCCCTATAATGTGAAAATCCAAGCTGACCTCCGCTGTACTCTTCTGTAGGTCTTCTTTCCCGTCGCAACATATCACAGGTTCGGATGCGATTGCGCATCCGCAAGCAATCGTCTATTAATACGGACCTGAGTCTCAGCTACAGTGGTTCTAACGGTGGATTCTGTATACAGGTGACTACTGCGATGTATATCTCACGCACGACTCGATGAGCGTGCGTAAGGCACACAATTCGGGTCGGAATCATTTGAGGAACGTGGTGGAATACTATCAACGTATGCACAAGTCCTATCCCCAACCACAGTCTGTCGCTGATGGTTCTGACAATTGGTACAGAGATCGGACAGGAAAAGGCACAATCCGTCATTGACTCGATCACGTCTTCATATGCCGCCGAGGGCCAAGCTGTCCCTAACCCTGCAATGGCTCCCCCAGGCGCCTTTCCCCCACCATTCGGATTTCCTGGTACGCGAACATTACCCCTACTCATCGACAATCCTCTTCTCTTTGTGTGGAAAACATCTTACCAATATCTCTGGCTTAGGTCGCCCCGGTCAACTCCCTCCTCCTCCATTCGGCATTCCTCCCCCCGGAGCTCCCAATGGAATTCCCCCAGGCATGCCCATTCGTACGTCCACAACCTCCATATCCCAGTTCTATACTTCCACTCTAATACTGACACTCCCAACAGCACCACCCGGCGGTAGAGGCCTCCCCTTCCCGCCTCCCTTCCCCCCACCAGCAGGCGGCGCCCCAGGAGGTTTTCCTCCACCCCCTCTCGCCAACATGCCCCCTGGTCAGGGATTTCCCCCTGTCCCGCCGCCTGGCGGGTTCCCGCCTAATTTCCAGATTCCCCCTCCCGGTGCTGGGGGATTCCCCCCTGTGCCTCCCCCGGGCCAGCCCGGTTTCAGTCCCAGCCCAGGACCCGGTATGTCTGGTCCCCCGGCGCCTCCGGGGATGAACTCCTCCAGTCTCCCGGGCCCTCCTCCTGGACTAGGTGAAAGGCGATGATTGAGTTCGGGCTAATCATTGCGTTGTATTACTTGTGATATTACTCGGGCATTTCTTGTCGGTAGATCTTCTCTACGAATTCTTCTTTTTGTTCTACTTGAGCGTGGTTTAACAGGATGTTATACGAATGCATTTAGTGACAATGATTAATCATACTGCAATATAACCATTGCCACACGCATCTAGGTTCAAATGTCGAACTGAGGATCATCTGGGGCTAGATCATTCCAACCTGAGTTCACACTAATATTCAGTTAGGGTAACCACAGACGTATTCTATAATAATGAGCATGTTGGAATACCATGCGTGTCTCACGCAAGTTCTAGCAATATGATTCCTGTCCATACATGGAACCGCGATATGATACACCACCGGACAATGCAGAGCACAAACGACTCTAGGTCCCCAAAATACTTGGGAAAAGTCCACAAACCCAGGTCCCGATATCCAAATCCAATGCTTCAGAACGCCAGCTGTAATCGCAAAGGGAAAAAAAGAGAACATCCAGTAAGGATATAGTAAAATCAATAGAGGTTGAAAAAAAAAAGGATTTTGGAGTATATCACAATGAAGCAAAAGGAAAGGAGGTAGAAAGGGTGGATGAGCAACGAAAGGGTCAAAAGGAAAATATCAGAGTTCAGAGGACAGGACGATTGGTCAGTCCATCCCCACGCTTATGCCATAACTTCATTTCCAGCAAGGCTCAGAGAAGAATAGTCAGTGGGTTCCTCTAATGGTCATACCCGGCCCCTCTTTGCCACGGACTTGCGTTGTGCTGAGCGCGGTAGGGAATTGGCGATGGTGAACGTCCATAACTAGGCGGCCCTCGTCCATCGCTGGGGAATAGAGGTACCGAAGGATCAACTGGAGAAACTGGGGCTTGCCGGTGCGGCGTCGTATCATGAGATGCGAGGAGATTCTGACGTCCAATGCTGGCTCCGTTGCCGCTTGAGAAAGAACCATTGTCATCGTCGAAGGGACTCGACTTGTACGACGTGTCCTTGACATCACCACGTGCAGTGGCACCTAGCGCATCCAACTCCGTAGTCAATTGGCTCTGCGACTTGATAAAGGAGCCGCGGTCGTCTCTCATGGGCTGGTAACGGGTATCGGGATTTTTCGATACAATGGCGTAGATGGATGCGATAAGCACCAGAATCAATAGAATCAGCGAGAAAACCGCGTTATAAACGAAGAAGATAACGCCCATGACACCAGTCACGATTCCTGGTTGATTGAATACCTCCGAGAAAAACAGCAAAAAGATAGCATTGACAAAGTTGATGGCGGCAATAGTAATGTTGTAGATGTTCGTCTTTTTGTCCATCCAAGGCCGCAGAACGCTGACGGCAATGAGCATGGCGGCCTCGATGATGACCAGGGCGACGGTCTGTACAACAGGAGCGGGCTGACCAAGACCAATGAACATGCCCTTGACAAGAAGATACACCAGGAACGGCACCACGAAGTAGTAGGCAGTCGCACGGTATTGCACGTACAAAAATCCCCACTTGTTCAAGCATGTGGGATCAGAGTAGAGGATGTAGGCTGGGTTCTTGTGCATGACAACCGACCGCTTGGCCAGGAGGATCACTTTGAAAGCAGCCCAGCCCAGAGCACCGAGCACTGACAGAAACATGATAACCGCCAGTACCATCTCAGCGGCGGAGTCATGCTGGGTAAATTCCCAGAGACACAGCACGCACATCTGGGGAAAACCAATCAGGGTCAGTCGGAACAAGATGCCTCGTGCCACGACTTTCCAGCCATTCCGGAAATCAGAGAACTTGTCACTCTTCATCCTTCCATTCTTGGCGAGGATCTCACACCCGGCTTTGAAGAGAGCGACAATGACCATCACTATGAAGACGAAGAAGACAAAGAAGATCAAACCTGTAAGGAAGATATTGGTCTGTTCAATGCCTGCTACGAAACCGACACGGTCAATGCCGCGCACGACGACGGTTGAGGAAGTAGCCGCGTCGTTGGCGGCAGTAGATCTTTTCACGATTTCGTTGACGCCCCTTTTCACCAGGTTCGTTGTAGCTTCAAGAGAACGTTTTCGGCGTTTCAAGACTTCGACGGAAGTGGTAGACAACTCGGAAAGAAGGGTTGAAGGCGTTCCACCGGTTGATCGTTGATACCAAGTACAAAGGGTCTCCAGGAACCCAACGTGGATGATACCCATACTCCATTGGAAATTCTGCGTCCATGCTTCGACGATTGGCGGCATTGAAACCGAGATCATGCCGAACATAGCCTGCGACTGCATGAAGCTGAAAAGAGAGAGCGCATTGGCTGCGACATGAGCGGCCGTATTTGAGTGACCGAGACCAGAGGTTATTGCGGAAGCAGCAAGACCCAACCCGGAGATGATGGCTGTTGACCAACCGACGCCTTTCTGGTAAACCGTCTTGCCGTTCGACAGACTAGCTTCAATGCAAGTGATACTCTTGCCAGTGTCTGTTGAGTTGATATAGATCCGGACCTTGGCATCAAGATCAGGAACCGTGTATGCGATGCCTAATGGTATGGTTAGCGAGATTACACCATTTTCAGACAGCAGTCAGTGTAGGCATCCTCACCAGGGATCTGTTTAGCCACATCCTCTGACACGACGACATTGGCGCTGGGGACATCGATGGGACCAGCGTTCATTGGGCAAAGACCCGCCAGATTCATTTCGCAAGGGTCCAGCTCTTTCCTGAGTGCTTCATATCCATAGGCAGTGAGAACAAGCTCAGCGGTAACCTTACCGGAGATCGCAGCGACTCCATCAAAGGCAAAGGCTAATGTTCGATTGTTGGGCGTGAAGGTGACACTGAAGAAGGTTGCTGTAAAGTTCGAACTGTCTTGACACAGGTTCAGGGCATTGGACTCGATGAGCTTAGTCGCAGCCACAAGCGGTGTTGTGAGAAAAGCGACGAACAAACTGATGATTAGCGATATTAACCGCATGGTGGTAGGGCCCTGTCGAGCTGTGTTTTCGCACTGGACAGCGGGGAAGAAGTTCGTGGATAGAGGCAAGAATAGATCACAGTCGAAAGGCTGGAATGATCACTGTCGAATGGGAGGTGGTACTCCAGAGTACCAGGTGTGGACCGGCCGGATGCGGAAATGTGGTATCGACCAAAGGTTGTATTGCAATGATGTGGAAGCTAGGGTAACGAGCAGTAGAATCCAGATAAGAGTGTCGATTCAAGCTTGTTCGAGTAAGATCGGGTTGTATTGCGGCTTGTTGTTCAATAAGTCATTGAAAGGACCGTAGATCAATATCCAGCGCAAGTCTTCTAGGCCAGGTAAACGAGAGAAATGGTCGCACGAATCAATACGGCGACGAAGCGATCGGTAACGAATTCCAGGAAAGAGTGACGAATGTCACAGCGTATATAAAAGAGTGTCGAGAGCGATATTGAAGTCGTTGGATGACAATTGAAGCGAGCGGGACGGCGACACACAGTGTATAGCCTAAGAGGGTAAGACAACCAAGGGGACGGGGTTTCCCTGAGATATGATGACCGTCGTTCTCTGTCCGTCTCTTTCTGTTTTCTCTCTCAAGACGCTCCGATTTGGACCAGTAGTCGAGAAGCGGTAAGGAGAGATACCAAAGAAAGAAAATAAAGAACGAAGGTGGTAGAAGAGATAAAAAAACTGGCACCCTTTCACTCTTGACCTCTCCAGAAACACAAGAAAACGGGGGGGTGGATGGGACGGGAAGGTCTTGGTCGCAGAGGGAGACGACAGGAATGCCGATGAAACACCCTCGACAGCTGAGTCAGCACGGAGGGTTGCGTTGTGAGGTGGACCAATTACAGGCGATCACTGCATTCCTTAATTAGGTAAGGTCACAGACTGAGTATCAGGCAGCTGTCTCTGGGTCGAGTGGATTTGCTGCAGTTTCAATTCGAGACAGATTTTTAAAGGTAGGTAACAAGTAACAAAGGACAGGAAATAATCTGTAGTACACTTATGCAGGGAGGGAACTAGGCTTTACAATATGCCGAAGATTCTTCAGCATGACAAGTCTACATGCGCAGGATGATGGATGACCTTATCAGCCATCGAATTTCTTGCTGAAACTGCTGTAATGCTCGAATCATGCTCTGCAAGGTGTCTCGCAAAAGTTCCCTTGGTGGACAACCACCCAGTCACCCAAGCACCGGAGCAGATCAACCGTGCTGAGCCTCTGTGTGTCCCAATAATGCACGCGCGTCTCTCAGGGGCGCCATATTTGCTGGACCGGAGCACCAGATCATTGGTTATAATTTTAATCCATTTCAAATTTGCCTTTGCGTCGGCGGCAACAGGAACGCAATATCCTTTGTACTACGTACTTAAAACTCTTCCATCTTGGTGAAGTTTTTTCGATCCGTTCTTTTCCTTTTTCTGGAATAATGGTAAACCTCCGAAAAGGACAAATGGAGCAGTATCGTCATTCGTGAAGGCTGGGAATATCCTAGATGGTACCAAGGACCCCACGGATTGCGAGATTACATCCATCCAGCGTTCCAAAGGCACCAGTGGATCTGTGCCATTGTTCCGTTGAAAGTCGATATGCTCATCGTTACTCGCCTCGGCGATTCAGCGTCTGTCCATTGCATTACTGTATGTTCTTAGCAATCACCCAGCCACATCCAGGGTCTAGATATCATTTGAGACTGGTTCAGAACTTAGGCCAAGTGTTGACATGATGTGGACTATGGACTTCCTCAGTTTTGATCGTGATACGGGTCTTTTGCTGGTTCTCTTTCAACCTTGGATCATTATTTCAAGCGGATGCTATTAATAACCCCGCCATTCACTCAAACTTTAATGCAATCATGCAAACTGTCGTTTAAGCTCAAGCCTGAGATTATATCAGTGATTGATTATCATGATGACAAAATACATATTTCTTTGGACATCAACATTATTATTTGAATGCCCTTTCTCAAACAAGAACACTACTAGATCATTGACGTAAAGTCTAACCAGAACTGAATCGTCCTCCTTGTGAATCTGGTTAGCGCCTATGTCTAGACTAGGTTCTGCACAGCCTCCAAAAGACTCCTTGGCGCATTTAACAATGGTTTGGTGCAGATGTTAGGATGGTCAGTTCTAGTCTAGGGAGTATCTAGAGATAGATGATTTCCAGTTTCATTTGACAACAATGATCTGGAGGACAATGACACGATACTACTTCAGCTCAAGGCCTCAAGCATCATGGTCCGGTGACAGTCGCACATTGCCGTCCCTGATCTACATCAGAGGCTTGAGGTTGGAGCCGATCCTCCCACTGGAATGCGCGCCATGACGTTGATCCTCACCGATCTTCGCGGTTCGCACTTGTACTCGTCATGCGATGACAACTTCAACAATCCATGACATTAGGAAGGAAATCAAGGAACAGTCCTTCGTACTTCAACCCTTATGGACTCAAGTCTCGAGGACAAAGAAATCGCAAATGCAGTTTCAGGACATTGAAACTCCAAGACCTGAACAATAATATCAAGTCACAGGCAGCAGGAATTGCTATTTTTAGTCGTCTCATGCTCAATCCAAACTTCGTAATAGAAATTGCAAAGACAGATACCTCTCGTGGTTCTCTTCATTATGGCTCTCAGTACGGAGTACGTTTAATCTTCTTGCATCTAGCCGAGACTGAGATCAATACATAATGCGTCGCCAAGTACTCGGCTACAAGGGAAAGCCCAGCACTCTTCACCTTGGATCCAAGGCAGCAAAATTAATCAGTTGGATGTATCTTGGCTCTCAAGGTCACATCACTCCTATAGTGCACAGGCCCCGTTAAAATGACAGTGTTGGCGGCGAGAGTTGCATGCGCTCTTATGCCTTCATTGGGAACTGTGAGGCTTCAGCAATATTAGGAAGTACTACAGCTTGAGATATACAGCTCTTCCTGTGATCCTTAAAGTACCGACTAGCCAAATCTCAGCTTCGGAATCAGCACCATGACTACTGAAGTCAATAGAGAATCTCTACCTGAGAGAAACCAGTCGAGTCCAGAGGACCAATGTCCCCTAATTCTTCACAATTCATCCCTTGGGCTTGTGTCTGCCTCGCATGGGACTCACAAAGACATTGACCCTCTCCCAAGCGCAATCCAGATCACGAATCTACCTAGTTACAGCAAGACAAAATGCGCCTAGATCGGTAGAAAACAACCTTGAAGCTAAAAGTAGGATGAGAGCACGACAAAGTGGGCAAGATGCTCCCTATGAGGTCTTTTGCTCATTCGCTTAGTCCAAGCATGAGCGAGCTCAGGTCTTTATTCCGATGTATGCTGTCAACGTCAGCATGCTTCGCTGGAACAAGTGCAATACATCCATGGCTATGTCATTGATTGGGGAGTTCATATCTGTAGGTGGATGTCGAAAAAGAGAGTCGTGCGATATCATATAAGATCGACCTCATCGAAGATACGGTTATTGTATCACAATGAAGTAGACATAGGTCTACCCGAACTGAAACCTCATGTACCTTGGAAGTTGAATGTGGTCCATTATCTGTACATTAAATTGATGCCTTATGAAAGTGGCATATAAGGCTGCTGACACATCCGACAAGAACAGTTATCAGTGCCTATCAGCACGTGACGTGGAGTTTTTGCAGTGGGTCGACCCCAAGAAAAAAAAAAGGACGAAAAATAGAAGGAATTGTCAGTTCACAGCTTAGACTTTTCTTAACCAGACCACTTTCGCACTCCAGACACAGCTCGTCTCTTTTACGATACGAGGCAGTCGAGATGCCGGGCCCTGTGGATACAGCGAAGTCGATTACGAAAAAGCGCAAGAGAAAGCACGGTGGAAGTGCTCGTGCAACAACTGAGACCGACGATGCGACTACTCAGTCAACCATTGAAAATGGAGCTGTGACCGATTCTCCTGAGAAGGGGAAGGATATTAAGAAGACCGGGAAGACTGGACAAGATAAATCCACTAAGAAGCGCAAGGTCAGCCACGCATCTAGCGACGAAGAGAATGAGAGCGAGGAAGAACACGTCGCTCCTGCTCAAGTCGACGGTGACAGCGACAACAACGAAGAGGATGACGAGGACCAGTCGGAAGCTGAGAATGGAAACACCGGGGATAAGGAGAATTCTGAGTCCACAGATCTTCCTTCGGCGGACGCTCTTCGTCTCCCAACGGTAGAGGGCGAGCCTCAGAAGTTCACAGAGCTGGGTTTATCGGAGAAGACATTGAAGGCCATCAATGATATGGGCTTTGACACTATGACCGAGATCCAAAGACGAACGATTCCTCCACTTCTCGCCGGTCGGGATGTTCTTGGTGCCGCAAAGACCGGTTCAGGGAAAACGTTGTCCTTTTTAATTCCTGCTCTCGAGATGCTGAGCGCGTTACGGTTCAAGCCTAGAAACGGTAAGAATATTCTTCCTTCTTATGTGAGAGCGGCTTACTGACTAGTCATCGTCATTTCATGCAGGTACTGGTGTCATTGTCGTCTCCCCAACACGTGAGCTTGCCCTTCAGATCTTCGGTGTGGCTAGAGAATTATGTCAATACCAGTAAGTGACCTACAGCACCGACTTTAGTAGTCGGCAGTTGCTGACTTGTGGTCGTAGCTCTCAAACATTCGGTATAGTCATTGGAGGTGCGAATCGGAGAGCTGAGGCGGAGAAGCTCATGAAGGGTGTCAACCTCCTCATTGCAACCCCGGGACGTCTGCTGGATCATCTGCAGAACACTCAAGGTTTTATCTTCAAGAATCTGAAGACACTCGTCATTGATGAGGCGGATCGGATTCTGGAAGTGGGTTTCGAAGATGAAATGCGCCAGATCGTCAAGATCCTGCCATCCGAAGAGAGACAGACGATGCTGTTCTCTGCCACCCAGACCACAAAGGTCGAGGACCTGGCGCGTATCTCCCTTCGACCCGGTCCTCTCTATATCAACGTCGACCATCGAAAGGAACACAGTACGGTCGAAGGCTTGGAACAAGGCTACGTCATTTGTGAAGCGGATAAGCGTTTCCTGCTTCTCTTCTCTTTCCTGAAGCGCAACCTCAAGAAGAAGATTATTGTCTTCTTCTCAAGTTGCAACTGCGTCAAGTACCACGCCGAACTTCTGAACTACATTGATCTGCCGGTGCTTGAGCTGCACGGCAAGCAGAAGCAGCAGAAGCGTACCAACACCTTCTTCGAATTTTGCAACGCCAAGCAGGGTACCCTGATTTGCACTGACGTGGCTGCTAGAGGTTTGGATGTGAGTCACTTCTCCACAACTTTTTCTCTGTCTGCTTTATGCTAATCATCGTTTCAGATCCCCGCTGTGGACTGGATTATTCAGTTTGACCCTCCGGATGACCCGAGAGACTACATTCACCGCGTCGGTCGTACCGCCCGTGGTGCCAATGCCAAGGGTCGCAGTTTGATGTTCCTGCAGCCGTCCGAAGTCGGATTTTTGAAGCATCTGAAGGAAGCACGCGTGCCCGTGGTCGAGTTCGAATTCCCGGCGAGCAAGATCGTCAACGTTCAATCTCAGCTCGAGAAGCTCATTGACCAGAACTACTATCTAAACAAGGTGCGTTTCGCTATCGAGCCCGTGACGCCAGTAAGTAGGCGAACAACATGCTGACATGACTCCAATCTAGTCCGCCAAAGAAGGTTACCGCTCCTACCTCCAGGCATATGCCTCCCATTCCCTTCGCTCTGTCTTCGATGTACACAAGCTCGATCTTGTCAAGGTCGCCAAGGGCTTCGGCTTCTCCACCCCACCACGCATTGACATCCAGCTGGGAGCTAGTCTGAGCCGCGACAAAAAGCAGCAACAGCAGGGGCGGCGCAGTTACGGCAGCCAGCCGCACAGCAAAGGATTGAAATTCAAGCGGAAGCATGAAGACTAATACACTATTACGTGGTCATAGAGCGTATGTGGAAAGCCTAAAAGCAATCATGTTAGATCATTGTGAATATTGGCGTCAAGTCTCTTAGGAGTGCAGGAGTTTATACATATTTGTAGATATATAATTTGTCTACATACTCTAGTCGCCTTATGTTCCTTCCTTGAAAGATCTCTAGTAACCAAGTCTATTCGTAGTACCAGTGGAACTACTGGCTCGAAATGGACTAAGCTGGCTACGTATAACTCAGCAAGGATCACAAGCATTAGTTCACGGTCCTCTTCCTCAAGTTGACCCTATCAGATACACACGGCTTCTGGATCTAAGCCTACAACGAGAGCATAACAAGCAAGCCGAGAGATGAAGCATACGTTCGAACGTCAGGCGAATTCTCGGAGTCACAAAGCCGATGCTAGATAACTATATCTCTATAAATGGCATCGATCCCTTGATGCAAGGTGACCCATGTAAGGTACAGTCTTGCACCAGGATTCCCCTATGCAAGTATACACCACTGACCCATCCGGCCTTTGCTTATTCTGTTCCTCTCATCGGAAGTGTAGAAAGAGTACAGGGAACCAAGGGAATGCAAGATTGACTGTACGGAGTACCACGGTACTTTCAGGCACAAGAGGTAAACATCCTGGCGAACGATTCCAAAGCGATTGGATGTGACTGGTAACTCTCCCCCGGTCATCCAATTCAAAATTGCTTATTCTCTAAACTCTCATTTCCATTTGAAAAGTGAAAAGGAAGGATGGTGATACCCGAAGCTGCAAACAAGAACCCGGTGGCTGGTGATGTCGGCCGCGGTGGCTGGGGAAACTCCATTGAATCAACCAACCACATCACGGGCGTCAAAGGTGGGATGTGATGAGTTGGCGGGCGCATGGAGCCATCACGCCCAATGATGCAGAGAACACGAGGGTCGTCCTGGAGATGGCTGATCGGCCTTGATAGGTGTCAGATCTCCCATCGGATTGGGGATTGGTTCAGCACCAAGGAGGATATGAGACTGTGAGAGAAACTAACCTTCTACTTTTGGTTTAAGTGTTGTTGCCATGAGCCAGTGCCGGTGGTTCCTGGAGAGCGGGTCCTGATCCCGCGCCGACGGTGGATACTCAGAGTTTGTGGTCCTGTTTTGGACTTAGATACAAAAACCTCACCACTTATTCTGACGTTGAACGGCTCGGAAAGAGTTCAGATTATCCGTGGTAAGGTGGTCATTACGGATATTGTCTTCTTTGCTGGTGACCGGGTTTTTCGTCGAGCTGATGACTCGAGATACTCTGGTCGCTGGATCCCAATTAGGGGTTCGTCTGTACCACCAGCACAGGATCTCAAGAGCACAGGCCTAGGAGGACATCAATGATACTGATCGGCTACTATCTGCCTCTGGATAGGTAATTGCCCGACTCGGGCTATTCTCTCACGAAGTAATCATTGATGGCAGATTCAACATTTATTAGGTACGATTGTGTGTGTATGCGCCGCAGACCGAAACACAGCTCTATATAATAAGGCAATTGAGGCACTACAGTGCAATGTAAGTATGATCGCAAACGAGCATCAGGGCACACAGACGGAGAGCATCTAACACAAGATAATCCGTAGAAAGTCCATGGAGCGTTCAATGAGACAGTAACAATTCCCTCAGGCTAAGTCTGTGTACTGTACAATTGTCCCAGCCACCTTGCAGGGTGATGAGATTGGGCGTCACCTCGTAGTCTTGCCAATCAGAACTGTAACCGTAGCTCTTGTTTCCTCCTATCACAGTGAGTTGCTACTACTCGGACTAGATACGGAGTATATACCTTGCATTACTCCAAGGGAACATGGACTCGTCCGAGGAAGGGCTTCATATATACAGTTGTAGGATGGGAGAAGGGGCAGAAACATTGGAAAAGTAAAACAGAAGTTCCGATGGTAGGAAAAAAAAGCAGAAGAACAATTCGCCTCTGAGAGCTTCGTTCCCATTTAAATAATAATCGACCTTCAAAATTCAAGGCGATTCAAGAGCACCCGTCGCCGCTTGTGTGTTGCCGCTAGACAATCTGGTTTTCTGATCCTACGCCAGCTGGCCGGCTACTCATCATCCCATCAACACTAGGTTGACTAGCTAGCTAGATAGATCTTGCCTTCTCCTGTCTTTTCCAGCCTTCGTCTTTTTCCCTTGTCTTCCGGGCTTTTTCTCATATTCCTCGTTTGTTTGCTTGCTTGCTTTCTGTCTGATTGATCACTGTTATCCTTTTTACCTTCTGAAAGACTATGATCGCAGCTTCCATCTTAGAGACAGCGAGCCTATGACTTTTTCGTCTGCACCACCTTATGCGCCAAATCTCCCCGTTCGATACGGTCTGGGGATTGGGCTCTATCTATTTCCTACTGTACCCACGTCCATACCTACAGGCTACAGCTGCTGTTACCGTCAAGTGAGGGATCGCCGTAGTCTAGCGGCGACATTCAAAAGTCAAGTTAACGTCTGTCGGCTTGTTGGCTTGTCTGTTCGACTTTCTGGTTTTCTTGCTGTCTGCTTGATTTCTTTTTTGATTTACTCTGCATTGGTACGCTTGGACTCCTTTTTCTTTTCTCTGCCTCTTGTGGTACCAGACCACTCATCTTCCCTGCAACAATTCACTTGCCTGCCTCACTCTTTCCCGACCCCACCACCATCACTGTCCATACTGCATGTCTACAATCTGTAGTGACAAACCATCGTTCAGCTCTCTGGATCTCGGTGTCAGACCCCTCGTCATCCTACCCGATTGCCTCCATTGCCTCGTCAATCCCCTTTCAAGCTTTCCTTACCCTCAGAAGTACCTCGACAAAACAGACACAGACTACTATGATCCTGTGCGGCTGAGGACCTCACATACTGGTTCCTACCAAGATGGGTGTCGACACCCGCAGGCCGATCTTGCCCGCCCCCACTGAATCCATCGTCGATACCACTGGCGGCAGTGTTACAGGGACTGATTTAGCCACTGACCTCTCTCGACGCACAGACAAGACGTCGTACTCAATCCCAGACGACGGAAGCCCCGTAATCATCTCCACCCGGCGGAGACACCGTGACCGGGGCGACGATTCCAAACTGTCTCGCTCATCGCATCACTCCCAGACCTCCCTTCTTATCGAGTACTTCGAAGGAGGGAAGGGTTCTGGTTCCTTGACCTCGCGGCCAAGCGTCCGTGTCCGAGTGACTCCCTCGTCGGCTCGGAAGGCGAAAGAGCAAAAAGATCATATCCAGATCAGCGAGTCAAGCGGGAACCGAAAGCCGGTCTACTCGCGCCGCATTTCATTCAGCTCCCCTTCGAAGCACAAGTCCCCGATAGAGCCAGATGATAACAGTATCTCGTCCTCCAACTCTGCTATTGACGAGAATCACCACTCGTCTCGGCATCCCCCGGTGGAAATCGAATTCGTGAATCGGGACCAGGGCAGTGAGCTGTCCAGCCTTTCGCGGGACAGGTATATCCAGCCAACATCGGATATCTCGTCGATGCCCGCGGATAGCATGCTTGAAGCCTCCTCTGCTGGTCCACGACGCAAACGAAGCTCGAGTCTTAATAGGAAACACGATCACGAACCCAAGGACTATCTCAAGACGCCGACCCGCCAGAGAAGCCGCAGTCTGAGTACGGAGAGAATCGCTCATCGAGTAGCTGAGAAATTGAGCAACGATCCACGCGACCGCGCCACCAGCAAGAAAAGCAGAGCCTACCGAGACGACGACATGGCGAGCCCTGAGTCCAGTCTATTGAGCGCTTCAGCGGTTTCTCACCGCAAATCCGGCGACCAATACTCTTTCCGGTCGGGAACTTCCAAATCGTCCATCAACAATCCAAAACTGCTTGAGACGGTTGAGGATGCGATCAGACGATTGATTTTGCCCGAGTTGAAGGAACTCAAAAAGGATCAAAGGGTCATCTCTAACACTTCCAAATTTGAACGTGATATGAATGCCTCCTACACCTCCTCTGCCAGCTCCCCGTCTCGGGATGAGCTGGGTAGGCGTCTGTCCAAGCATGCCAGTGCGCCAGATGTGATGAAACCAAAAGTTGTCCTTAACAAGGGTAGCAGGGACGAAGGGATCATACTCTCGGGCGACCCTGTGCCGGCAACGAAGGAGCGCCGACCTAGCAAGGACAGCGAGAAGAAACTCGAACCGACCTACGCCGTCTGGGGCAATCGGCCCGAGCTGACCGAACAAGACAAGTTGCGGCGACAGAAAAGCAAAGGATTGCGCCATGCGGAAGAGGCCGCGATTGTAGGGACTGCACTGACCGCGGCCGCGCTGAGACGTCATGAATCGCAGTCCAGCATCGACAAGGATGAAGGCAGAAGAAGTGGCGACACGGACCGCGCAGAGGGCATCAATGAAACTGAGCTCGTTTTCCAAAAACATAACGTGGCGCCCATGCCGTTGCGCAGTGCCGTCGAGACGGAATTGACCCGGGACTCTCTATTGTCTCAACGGACCGTAGAGACTGAAACTCCACACAAAGAAAGCAAAGTCCAGGACGTATCTCGCAGCTCGCCTTTGCAAGTTAATTCTCCTACCTCTCACACTCCCAATCAGACACCCCTGGGCTCGCGGCATGAATTGGCGCTGAAACACAGCAACCTCTCACAACACAATCTCTCATTGCACAGCACTTCAAATCCTTCTCTTCACGATCGGGATCACTCGCCCGTCAGCGAGGCTGCTGCTGGGGCTATTGCTGCTGCGGCAGCGGCTAACCTTTTAGACGTTCATTCCCACCGTCGAGACTCCGACTTCAACAATGACTCGCGCCGACGCACGCTCAGTCCTATCCAGAGCGTAGCCAGCTATCAGAGTGACTCCCAACCCCAGCAGTATGCCTCTCAGCATGATCAACATGAATATTCTGAGGGCGAGAGGGAGCTGGAGCCACGACTGTCGATTGAATCGCTCTCCTCGGCGCCAAGCACGAGCCTCGCGCGGTCAACACGACTAGACGGCTTGACAAGTCATAGTGAGATTCTGAAACATCGGGACGAAATCGATCATGAGTTGGGATATGAGGAAACGCCGAGGCTAACACCCCATAACGAGAGTTGGCATGAAGACTCGGAATTAGACGGTCCCAATAACCGACACTCTATGGCAGACACTATTGACAGCGAGGGCAAACGGTTGACCAATTATACTGATGAAAGCGAAGTCAGCTACATCAAAAAAATTGACCAAGCCCAGCGTGTTGCTCAGGGCATTGGTGCAAATCCTCAATACGTCCAACCCATTGCTGTTGAATCAGCGGTTGCTTCGCTCCTTGATCCTTCAATTCTGGATACCAAGTCCAATCAGTCAGGCGGGAACCTTTCACAGGAGAATCTGCCTCGCATACAATATGACCGCAGCCCTGAGCCGCACCAGAAAACAACTCGTGGGTCTCGCCAGGGAAGTCCTCTCAAGCAACGCCAAGATGCATCCAGTCCGGATGAAACCTCCTTCCCGAGAAGAATGGGCGCCACGTCGCCTCCCCAAAGTGTGACTCAGTCGCTTGAGGATCATACCCAATCGCCCCAAATATATGCTGATGAGCACCGCAGTGCAGGAAGTCCCATAGGTGAGGGTCGCGACGTGAGCCCAGACTCTGAGTCGGAAATCAATACAAATCCTTCCATCATCCAAGGTCCGATAGGGGGTGTTGCTCAGGATAGCAACTGGACGTATCACCAGACACCGTCAAAGGGTGAACAGTCGCCGCATTACCAGAACGCTGACGCAGGTGCCGGTAGAGCGGGCCTAGGAGTAGAGTCTATGGATCACCATGGTTACAACAAGGATTACTACGCTGCGGACGACTACGGACCTGACAGCTACTTTGATCAACCGTATGCTGGTGGTCACATGTTTGGCTCCCCTTTGGGTGTCAAGGACGAGGGTTATGTATCCGCCGCCAATCCTCTGTCACCAGGTGGCGATACTCCCGAGCCGGTCAGTAAGGGGTTTGGTGGAATCGATGCCAATGGCATGGGCCTTTTCGATACTCCTCTGGAGGCGGACGACCCAACGGGGCCTTCTCACCAGAGGAACCTAAGTGGCTATTCACACGGCATTGGTTCTCCTTTGTATGATAGCGCAACAGGGAGAGGTATCGACAGAATCCAGTCGAAAGATATCATTGCCCTTATGGATCATGTGAGTATCTCTTCCCCCTCCCTTTTGTAATTACAGAACACTCACTAACGTCTCCACTAACTAGCTCACCGTTCGCGACGCTCAGCGTAATGCCAGGGATACTGAGATCCTGGTGACTCTCGTCAGAAGTGCAGCGGAGATGCGCAATTCATTCGAGGAAATGAAGAAGTTCATCGCTCAACAGGACGGCATGATCATGGAGGCCAGCGACAAGCAGCATGAACGTGTATACAAAGCTATCGGTGGACCGCGCCCACTACCTGCCAGCGGCTCAAGGAACTTCCGTCAGGCTGCGGAGGATATGGAGGACATGCGTTCGAAGCGAAAGAGCATATTCAAACGGGCGCTCAAGGGGCTGAGTCTCAAGTCTTCGAATGATTTGACCAAGATCGAGGAGATGCTGGAACAGCTTCTCGAGGAGGTTGAAGCCCTGCGCGCAGGTCAAGACGACAGATTCGCCCGCAGCGTCAATCGAACAGCGAGTGTAGATCCGGAAGGGTACGAGCCTGAGGGTCTCGCCGGTTCTGGCTCTCCAGGAACAGGATACCTCTCAACATCGTCTCGACCTTTTCAAGAATCTCGTAGCAATGGACAAAGAGAGCTCGAGAACCGCGTTAGCACCGTCCCAGAAGGCGATGAGGACGACGATTACGACGATCGCGGAGAGTTTCTGAGCCCGAACTTGCAGGAGAACGCGAATGGCCATCATGAGAGAGCTGAATCTGCGCCCCTTTCAACTCCACCTCGAGTGCCGGTGGCTTCGGGCGCTCTCAGCAACGAGACTAGCCCCAAGACGGAAAGGGCACGTAAGCACAAGTCGAGCAGCTCTTCCTTCTTTCCCAAGATCTCCAGATGGTCGAAAACCACCGCATCTTCTATGGGAGATAATATCCGCAACAGCCTCCAACCCGGACGCAAGGAACGCCCGTACTTCGATGCGTCACGTTCTGGATCCGATGTCAACGGGCCCTACAAGACGGCTGACTGGTACGATCCGGAAGGCGATGACCGGCTGCGGTCCAACTACACCCTGAACGACCAGCAGCAGGAGAATCGACCTCCGTCGCCTCTCGTCCCATCACAGGTTTCTGAGGCTCCGAAGTACCGCGCTCATCGCGACAGTCTCGATCTGCAGCATCCCCAACCGCGCCAAGGGCCTACCGGGCGCTACCAATCCCAGCTGGAGACGCAGGCGCAGATTTACGGAATGCCAATGACCGGGGCGACTTCGGATCAATGGGGTTCCAATCCCAGCATGTCTGCCACTAATCCGAATCATAATCGGTACAGTGGCGCCAGTCGACTTTCACCGATTTCAGATACAGGCTACTCGCAAACAAGTTCGAGAGCTGGGCAACAGGGGCCCCAGAGACCACCCAAGATCCTGGACGAGGGTCCGCTCGTCCCTGAGAGGCCCCCCAAAGTTAAGGCGGAGGAGCGGTCGTACGCGGAGCGCGTTGCCTCCCAGGTGAGCTCACTTTGTCTACCACATCAGGGACGAGAATAATACTAATTATCTTACCTGCAGAGTTCTGCTATGCGTTCTCCACATGGCACGCCCTCTCCCCGCAAACCTACCGGGCCTCGACCTCTCAACTCCGGCTCCCAATACAGCCCGAGCCGCAGGAAGAGGAGTCAGTATCGAGCAAGCCCCGACCAGGTTGATGTTGAACACAACCATTGATTAGTTGTCACACAACATCATTCAGACGGACTTTCAGTGACGCTTCCAAGATGCTACCCAATCTCAGCTAGGGATTGTGATCCTTGTGTGATCAATATTTAATGACCTTAATGACCTTTGCAGTTGAACATTTACCTGATAATTGATCCCAGCGTTCCTGCATATCACATCTGCAGCCTCTTTTTTGCCCTACCTGATGACTCGCTTTTGGTGGAACGGCTGGAGGTTGTAAACATTGATTTCATGGCATTACATGTACTTTTCTGTCCTATTTGCGCACGAATGATTCCCTACTCTCTTCACCTTCCTGCATAATTCTGTTTTTTAGCAGACCAGTCTTGTCGGTCACTTGTGATGATGCTGGTGATGAATGTACTTCGCAGTCACATGCATAGCCTGGACATAAAAGCATGCTTGAACTCTTCGCACCAGTTACTCTTTCCACTTAAGAGAGCCAGCGCTTGAATTCATGATCCTGACATGATTACCAAGGACTGTGGCCATCATAGACGCAGTGCGCGATCGAAATGCGGGGTAAGTTATCAAGAACGACATCATCCCCTCACCTGATCGCCTCTGTCTCTAGAACCTCTTAAATTCCTCTCAACCACAGCGACGACAACAATACGTTTATGATAAGCGACAACTTTTGGACCGCAAACATGCCTGACTTGTTGGATCTCATTATGTGTTCCACCTGTGGAACACAGTACGATACCACCTCCGAGTCCTCCTGTAAGATCTGCGACGATCCACGCCAATACCTCCCTCCAACAGGGTAAACATTGCACCCACTTCTACCCACCAACCCGAAGACCAGAAGCAAGGTATGCACTAACATTCTCAATGAAGCCAATCCTGGACAACGCTCCGCACTCTACAATCAACAAACCAATACCACAACGACTTCGCCCCAGACCCGGACCACCCGGACTCACTGATAACCATCCACACAAGCCCCAAAGTCGGCATCGGCCAGCGCGCCTTCCTCTGCCGCACAGCCCACGGCAACGTCCTCTGGGACTGCCTCTCCTACATCGACGAGGACACAATCCGCCGGATCAACGAGCTAGGCGGCCTCGCCGCGATCGTCATCTCGCATCCCCACTTCTTCGGGGCGAATGTGCACTGGGCGGAGGTGTTCGGGTGTCCTGTCTACATGGCGGCGGAGGATAAGGAGTGGGTGATGCGCAAGTCCGAAAGACAGGTTTTCTGGAAGGGGAGGGAGTTAGGGATTCCCTTGCCCGGTAAAGGCGATGGGGATGCGGATGCGGACCTGGTAGCGGTCAAGACCGGGGGTCATTTCCCCGGTAGCTCGGTGCTGTGGTTCAAGCCGCTGAGGAAGTTGCTGGTTGCGGATTCGATCGCGGTTGTCCCGAGTGGTGTTTATCATAAGGATCGGGTGCCGGGTACGGCGTCGTATACGTTCATGTGGTCGTATCCCAATATGGTTTGTGATTCTTGCTTGGTTGTTGGTATAGGTTGAACTGACCGGACAGATTCCCCTGCCGCCTGACGCGGTGCACAATATTTGGAAGGCTATCAAGCACACAGAGTTCGATGATGCTCATGGCGCCTTTGTCGGTTGGGACACCCATGGCGACAGCAAGAAGCGGGTTCTCGAGAGCGCAAAGATCTACGTTCGGGCAATGGGATATCTGGATCACGCCATACACCAAGAACAGTAGACCTGCTGCTCTGTTGTTTTTGGATGAATTCTTGCTAATTTGAATTATGGAATCGGGTATTAACCTGAATGCTAACCCTTACACATGAGACTCCAAGTAATGATGAAACACGCTCAACTCTCCATTACCCCAAACAGGAAAAGCAAAACCAAGAGCAGAACAAACAATCCAGGTTCCCGTCAAACATCCGAAAACGGCCTGACAGAAGTGGTTCCTCGGCCTCTTATATGGTGTGGTGCCGTGGCAAGAGAACTAAACTCCAGTCCATCACTGATGGGAAATTTTCCAGGAAAACTTTCCACCGAGTGGGTTGCTCGTAAAGTCTCCATTTCAAGCAGAGCCTGGTCGTCCGCGGAGTCATCGGTCGGTCGAGGCTGCTGTCCATCTGTGGACTCCATCGACATTGGCCGGCTGGTGGTGCTGAATTGTGGCCTGCCAGACACAAGTTTGGCATACTGTGCCGCCGAACCTGCCATAGCCTTCTGCATGCTCGAGGAACGCGAATACATTCTTCGCACAGAAGTACTTCTTTTTATCGTCGTGTTGGAGTAAAGGGAATCGCTGCCAGCCGCTGGAATCATTGAGTCCATGCCACTTTCCGATTTGTTTTTGGCGAGCTCTGCCTCACGATCCACGAGCCCCTGAGACATGCGGACTGCTGGCTCAATACTGGAGGAGACTTGCATCAGCAGACTGTTCTGGTTGGACGATGTCCTCTCGGTAGACTGTGCTTCCGCCGGATTTGTCGGTCTCTGGGACTGCTGAATCGAAATCGAATTAGTTGCGATGGAGGTTAAGGGAAGATCGTTGGAGAAGAAGTTCCCGATGATCGGTACGTAGTAGCTTTCCGGAATTGAAGATAGAAAGATCTGTACGATTTGCCGCTCTCTGCGATGGATGGCTCTCTGAACCGGGTTCCGTGCTGCTGCTTGCTCTATGCGAAAGACCAGCGCCACAGCATGCAATATCTTCAGGGTCAACAGTGCTCCTACTAGCTTGAGAGCCTGTGCCAGACTAATCGCGATAGGTTCATGTTTCTGAGACAGGTCCTTGGGTTCTGAGGTCGTCATGAATGCGGTCCTTGAGATGAAGCGGTATTATCTATGCTGGGACAGGATATGCCACAAAAATGAATATAGAGCAGGAGGGCCATAAAAGAATCGAGATACTATCCATTATACAAAGAAGTAAGAGTTCCAGTTCTAGGGAATTTGGCAAAGAGCAAGCTGTATTTGGAGGAAGGAGCAACCAGCAATGGCATTTTTCAGCATATGGGATAGAGTCCCAAGAAGATCGGTAATGTAGGTCGCCTTGTAAAATATCATCTGGTCTCAATGGCGTCTTCGATAACTCAAGCATCATGGACATCAATCTGTCACACCAGGTGCTCTTCTCGGAAATGCCGCTAGTCCTGTGTACTGTCAATGCCTATCTCCTCTCATCTCCTCCACCACGTCACTTCATTTGATCCTCACCACCATACCTTAAATCTCCCCCCATCCAAACAACAGCCATTCCATTCTATGCTTGCATCTCGTACTTTCAGCCGATCCTCATCTTCAGTCATCTCAATGGCACCCTCACTTGAGAACTATGTCCTCCGACAACGACGCTTCGCTCCCCTCAATCCAGCCCTCGCGGAATCATCTGATGCGCCTCGGTTGAAAGGAATTGTGTTCGATGTTGACGGCACACTATGGTGAGACTTCTACTACTAAGAGAAATCAATCTGGCATATTCTTCTTTATTTTAATTCAAGGGATGCGCTTCACTCTCATTCGAATCCCAATAGAATACTGTAGTCGTAACTAACCGCAACAGCCTACCACAGAATTACATGTTTACCGAGATGCGGTAAGCACTCATCACACAATACCCTATTGAAAAGATATGACTCCCTAACAGCTCCTAGTAAAGCTCTGGGGATTGACAAAAAAGTCGACATTCTGCACCATATCCGGGATCTTCCCACCGCTACCGAGCGCACCGCGGCAGCCGAAAAAATCAAAGCCATCGAGCGAGAGGCGATGAGCCATCAGCAGCCTCAGCCAGGTCTGGTGGACCTGATGGACTACCTCCAGTCTCGGGGGTTGCATAGGGCCCTCTGCACACGCAACTTCGAGTGCGTCGAAGCCTTTGCCACTGCTGTTCTAATCACTCTGGAGAGGAAGTCGCTGACTGCGCCATGTATGACAGGGCGCCGGTGATGAATCTCTTGCGGAATCACCTTCCTACTCACGTTTTTCTACCCATTATTACGCGGGAAACACCGGGACTACTTCCCAAGCCTGATCCGGCTGGGATCCTACATATTGCCCGAGAATGGGGGCTTGACAATCGCGCTGATAATTTGATCATGGTAAGTCAGCATATTCTTGATTCGCTTGTATCCAGAACCTAATTACGTCTTCCTTGGTAATGTCGCAGGTCGGCGACAGCATTGATGATATGACTGCCGGCCATACGGCAGGCGCAGCAACCGTGCTGCTTGTCAACGAGCACAATTCTCATCTCAAAGACCACGCTCATACGGATCTTTGTATAGACCGTTTAGACGAGCTGATTGACATTCTAGAAAACGGTTTCGTTGGTCACCAGGGCGGAGATAAGCCACCCACAACTGACAGGGAGGGATAGAGGATAGAAAATCACCTTCAATCGTCACATGGTCTGGTTTTGTATAAAGCGTAACCTGGGGTACATTATGCGGGGAGTATATACAGTCCGGGAATTGGACGCAAAGGCGTATTCTCAATGCCCTTATGGGTAAGAACTCAAGAAAACGTGGTGACAGTCATGGTGCCCAAATCGGGACATGATGGAAGATAATGCTATCTAAACAAAGCCCCCAAGTCAAGACTCGAATAAAAGTTGGTAAACCCATCAACGCCATTGCCCTTAATACACCTCCAACAATAGCCGCATGCAATTTACAAGGTCATCTTGCAAGGTCGAGTCACTCACAGACTTTGGCAAGGTAACCAGGCCGTGCACCTTCATGGGTATCATTACACTGTCCATTGCATCATAGTCTGTATCTGTCCCAGTTCTTTTTCGCAGCACTAGGCATCGGACGATAGCCATCTCCGCTGGGACCTCCGTTGGAGCCACCTCGTTTGTTTCCACCACCACCCCCACGCCCGCCTCGACCGCCTCGACCCCCGCCGTTTCCTCCGCCTCTGGTCTGACGGGACGGCTCCGGTCGATTCCGAGGAGGCGAGCGAGGCGGTGGCTTCCGGCGATCATTGGCTCTACCCCGGCTCGGGCGCCCGTTGGGAGACAGGGAGCGCTGGCGTGAATTGGGGCCCCCATAGTCCTGACGGTCTCGGTACGTCTGACGGGTATCCCGGTCTGAGGCGCGAGGACCAGCGGGCGCAAGATTCTTGCCGCGTCCTATCCCGCTGCCGATTCGAATGCTGGGCCGGTTTGCGTTCGCGTTCGCGTTCCGACCGATGGGTTGGCGGCGGTTCCCCCTGGGCATCATGTCCTCGCTGTCCGAGGATGCCGAGGGCCGGTCCGCGCGGCCCCGGATTTGCATGCCGCTCTGGCCTCTTCGGGGGGCTGGTCCGCCTTGCCTGCCGCTGGTTACTGAGTTGATGTTGGTCACCATGTGCGGGTCGATGCCTCGGAGGGTGAATGATGAGGAGACCATCGATCGTGAGAGGGACGGACAGTCGCCGACAAGGTGGCGGTTGCTGGTGCAGTGGGAGCACGAGATTGAGACCAGCACGGGCCCCGAGGGCAGTTCCTGCCGTGGGATCTTCCACATCATATCGCACTGGAGTTCTAGGTGGCTGGATGATCCACAGAGATCGCAAGGTATCTCGGACGCGGAGCCTTTGAGGAGCGATGAGCATTGTTCTTCATCGTGACCGCGCTCTCGACATCGCTGACATCTCCGCCAGGATGGGCAGAATATGCTTTGGTGCTGGTTCCAGGCGCCACAATGTACGCACTATAGGTAGTCAGTAATCGCATTTGATAGACTGCAGTAGACCCTGAGTGTCATGGGAGGCATATGTCTGACACTCCGTCGAATCATTCGAGAACGTACCTCCTTAGAAGGACACACTGCTGCAAGATGTCCCTCTTTAAAGCATTCGGTGCACGATATCGGCAATTGAAGGTTGATGTCATTGATTTCGCGGTCTAAGAACAAGCACCTGGCCTGTACCTCCATATCATTGCGATCGAGATCCGCGAGTATTGTCGGAGCTACCGAGTACTTTTGGGAAAAGAGACGATGTGATTCTTCCTTTGACATTGTCGATCGGCCGCCTGTGGCTGTTCTCTCTGCGGCGGTACCATTCACAGAAACAGGGTTTACTTCAGCCGACAAGCCATCTGTTTGATCATTCTGATCGCCAATATTCAGCAATATAGAGTCATCAGCCTCGGAATCCAGTGATACGGAGTCGTCCGAATCTGCAGATTGATCCATGTCACTTGACTCTGCCGATGTCTCCTCGTCAAGCTCCCCTTCCTCCATGTCACCCTCATTTTCGACCAGTGTAACATCCTGATCGCCGCCATCGCTAGACACGGAAGCACTGCGACTGCGCCAGAATTTGTCGTTGACGGCCTTGAACTGAGAAGAAGCCTGTTTGTCATCGCCGGTCCTGTCCGCTCGTTTGGATAGCGACGTTCTGATGCCACTCTTGCTCGCCTTGTTCCAGTTAATGGCAGGTGTCTGAGGATTCGTCCGCGCGATGTTCTGTTTCTCTGCATCGGACGTAGTGGATTCGCCGTCGCCGTCGCCGTCGGACGACTCAGAACCAGAGCTGGACGTGCTGTCCGGATCTATCTCCAGCGATACTGCGGTGAAAGCAGCGCCTTGAGGAATAAAGTCTCGCACGTCCGGCACCACAGATTTGCCATTTCTCCGTTGCCTTTTCTGAGGATTCAGGTTTGGATCTGATGAGTTGGGGCGCGAAGAGTCGGTCGAGTCATTCAAGCGGCTGCGCTGGACACCAACAGAGGCGGTTCGCGAGTCATTTTCATTATCGGAAGATCCTGTCATAATGCCTCATCGGGGGTTTGGACACCTGCGAGGGGTCAGGAAGGCACCCTGTTGATAAAGGTAATTAAGAGAATGGTTAACATTGTGCATTCTGGGGTTGTTTCCGATCGAGAAATTTTACGGCGGCCGATAGAGACCAGGAACGTCATTTGTCGCCTCTGGAACATGGCCTACGGTGAAGGTGAGGATGATCATGAAATACTGGAATCTATATTGCGAGCCATTGTTGACCTGCTGTTGTGATGTTATCCACTGTGCATTATTTGAGTATCGATGTGGAGCTGCAATTGAGTGTAGCCCATCAGTTTGGGGATAACAACTCCGGACGGCGTACGGAATACTTGTAGATAGTGTGGCCTCAATTTCCATGTGTATAGCCAGGGGGAGATAAAAATAACAGTCCAGATCGGTGCACATGTTATATTGTAGTTTATCTACGGAGTGGTCTAGATCATATCCAATATAGAAGCGAATATTGAGTTCTTTAGGTCTGGCCTCTCCACTAGTTAATTGACCTTGTTCTGTCTCTGCTCGTCCATCTTCTGCTTCTCCTTGTGAATCTGCAATCTTTCTTCCTTCCGCCGACCTTCTCTTCTTTTTGCCCCTCGACTACGGTGTACCAGCTACGCATCGACCCTCTCCTCAGGTTTTCTAGTCACTCACTGCTCGAATTTCCTTTTACTTCTTTGATCTATCATAGTATCGCCATTCATTGTATCCTTTTTCTTTGCTTTGACCAGTCTTCGAGTCTTGTATTTGCCAACGGTGCAGTTGTTGTCTGGTGACTCCTGTGACCCATCATACTGCCGGTCCTCTAAGATCTCGCGGTCGGAAGTTCTGCGAGAGTCGGCATTCTCATTGGAAAAGAGCGAGATTCTTCAGGGAGAAAAAGGAAGGCCTGCGTTCATTGGTGGTTCCTGGTCTTGCTTTTTCTGCGCCTCCCCAGCTTTATCTCTGGCAACCTCTTCGACCTCGCCCCGTACGTCCTGACGAAACACCGCCAAAGTGTCTTCCCTACTCGTTCCCCGTGCCATCTCCTTCCCTCCGGAAGTCGACACTGGTTCGCGCCGGTTGTCTCCGGACTCCAACATGTCTCAATACAAGGCTGGACGGAGGAGGAGATCGAGCAGTATCATCTACCAGGAGCCGCCGGAATCCATCGAGCATACCAGTGATCAGGCTGCGCTGCCGAACCTCAATGCTAACTGGGTCAATGCCAAGGGTACGTGAGCTACATATTGTGATACAAGCGAGTCCTTGTGATTTGGAGGGACACAGTTTGGTATGGGCAAACAGCTGACTCGAGCTCGTCAAATTGCAGGTGCCTGGACAATCCATTTCGTTCTCATCATTGCCTTGAAGATCATCTACGACATCATTCCTGGCGTCTCGCAGGAGACATCATGGACCCTCACGAATATCAGCTATATGTTCGGCTCCTTCATCATGTTTCACTGGGTGCGGGGTATTCCATTCGAGTTCAACGCTGGAGCATATGACAACCTCAATATGTGGGAGCAAATTGACAACGGCGACCAGTACACGCCAACAAAGAAGTTCCTCCTTTGTGTCCCCATTTGTCTCTTCCTACTCAGCACACATTACACACACTACGACTTGACATACTTCACCATCAATTTCCTGGCCACTCTGGGTGTTGTTATTCCAAAATTGCCATTTGTATGTCCTCTCCTACTTGGTCGCGTGGTCGTTGCTAATCTGGACCATAGTCACACCGTCTGCGGATAGGTCTCTTTTCCGACTTACCGGATGAGTCGACATAGTATCTCCTTTCTTACACTACCACTTGGCGTCTCAGTGTTTCCTTTCTCTTGTCTTTTACGAGCACCCCATTGCTTGCTATATTAGTCTATTGGACAGCACCGTCTACGGGATCGACTTCTCTCTCCAGCTTTACAACATGCTTACTACAATTTCCTTATCTGCTGCATGTTCGTGGTGTGACTGGGGGGTTGGGGGTAATTCAATAAAGAATACTTGATATATGAATTGGCGTGAGCCGAGTTAGAGTGCGGCAAGGAGCAGTTGTTCCTTGTACTGCAATAAAGGCGTGTTTTAATACCTAGGAATCCATCATTAGCCTACCTACTTCTCATGCTTTGCATGGGCTTGTAGCCAATTCGTTAGCCGACATATTGACCGGTGAACCACCATTTGCTGAGTTGGACCAGTCCAGGCCTCCTCCATTATACGTACAGGGAATGCGTCGGTTTCTTGCTTATATAGGCTACCCTGGGCTTATCGCAACACTGCTTCTACATCCAGGCGTTTCCGGGTCTATACCATAGTAGGCCTTCTATATGGCTGCGCGTGTTTCTGCAAAGAAGGGAAATCAGCTTAGCCTCGATCAGCTCAATGTTGGTATGGTGATCCGATGCCGGAGATCGTGCGTCCGAGGCAGCGATTTAGATGCCTAAAACGCCGCCGATGTATGGTCTCTATGCGTGGCCCATGGCGATACTCTATGATATCTAGTAGTTTAAATAATATATGATTATGGTATTCGCCATGTATCGCATTCATATGAGCCGAGCACCATTTCCGACAGTCTTCCGGGTCGGGCAAGTATATATTTTACGGTGTGGGCGGAAGTCCACGGTCAACGGCGCGGCCACCCATACCAGTTTGTTGGTGAGGTAAACCATAATTGAATAATACAGAGGCATCAAGCACGAAAGAGAGGAGGAAATTGGGAAAAATGACCGCGGCAAAGGTGATGCAAAAGAAACAGAAAAAAAAAAAAAAAAACAAATCAAGTTCCAGACGCCAGTATGGCGCTGCTGGGAATCGAACCCAGGTCGAGACGGAGCTGTGGGGAGCCACAACGTCGCATGATAACCACTACACTACAGCACCTTGATTCGATGGGAGGGCGGAAGACTTTGCTTGATATAGCAAAACAAAATCCCACTACAAGAAATCAGGGATTTGCATTCTCCCTCTGCATTATAACCGCCAGTATATGACGAAGGAGCGACCGCATTTACTAATACGATGTTGACAGGGCTCAAAATATGAATGTCGGACCAGCACTTTCGTAGTAGCCGTATATGGAACCGCTCCGCTAAGCGGCGCGGCTTCGCGTTGACGCGCCTAATCGATAAGTTATGCGCTCAGTGTCACCCACTGAGAAACTCACCGCATCAGCAAAGATCGATGCCGATGACAATAGCTATGGCCACAGAAAATGGGGCGTCTCTGCCTCTATATCGCCCGACCAAGGCCATCCCTTACGAACTCGTCCAACATTGTGGCATATTCCTTGAAGAAAAGCTATGTTGGTTTGCCCGCTCACCATATCACCGATGCCACGCACTGACACAAACCCATACCCAGACACACAAGCACTCAATCTTCTACTGAACATACTGTCGCCCGGTGCTATTGCCTCAGGACCCGTCTACGTCCCCTCCCCGCAGTACCTGGCAGTCGCAGCCACATTTCTCGTCCACCCATCCACCACCAGCCGAGCCAAGACAGCAGAGGAGGAAGAGGCACCGAACGCAGCGCTGCGGCTGCTCCGACTCACCAACACGCTTGTCGGACCAATCTCTGCCCGATTCACAGCGGCGTTTGCATTCAATCATTTCGAGTCCTCTCGGCAGGGAAGGCGGCGGCGCGTAGAAGACGACGAGAACGCAAATGGCGATATCTCGAACGACGACACGAGGACACTGAACATTGACCTGTGCCAATCGGCATCTCTCTGGTCTCGCGCAGAAGACTTCTGGCATGCCGTCGGCTGGGCGTTCAACTGCTCTGTCCTACATCCGGAACGGTGGGCGAGATGGCAGATATGGCTGCAGTTCATGTGTGAGGTTCTCGAGGACGACTGGAACGAGCGCAAGAGGCAGAGCAGGGGTGCCGTGGATGACGAAGCCCGCCGGAGAATACTTGAGAAAAGCTTGATTTTCCGGTACATCGCCGGCGGGAGCACTCCGTATGGGCGGAATCGAAGAATCCTGCGGGCCATCTTCGCAGATGGCAGCTCGGCCTCCGTCAATGAATTCCGCAAGGTGTTCCACAACGAGTTGAAAACGCTCAAGCGCGAGAGCAATAATATCAAAAAGCGCGAAGGCGAAGTCAACATCGACGAGGACCAATTCGGCGACTACCTGTCCAAGGACGAGGACGAGGACGGATCCGACGCAACAGACTCCGCCGCGCCGGTCCCCGCCAGACGTCCAACCCGTCAGTCGAAGCGCAGCAGGCGAGGCGCCGCCCCCAAAGACACCCCAAGCGCCGACGCAGCCACCGCCGATACACCCAGCAGCGTCCAGGTCCACGGAGGCGTCTCCCTCCTCGGCGGCTTCCCATCCCTCGCTCTCCGCCAACGCCTCCTGCACCTCCTCTCCGCCGTCTCCGAGGACCTCCCCGCCTCGTTCACCACCCTCGAGGAACTCTACCACCTCTTCGTCGAAAATATCCGCCACCTGCCCCTCCCCATCTACCAAGCCTTCGTGAGCCCCTTCGTCCTCCCGCATTTCTCCGCCGCCTCGCAGACCACCCTCTGCGAGTTCCTGCTGTTCCGTATGCGCGAGAACGCAGCCCCTGACACAGACGAGGAGTATCTGAATCAGGCTAAGCTGGAGGAGTGCTTCTTGCCCTATGCGGCTAGTACGCCTAGCATTGTCGACAATACCAAGATGTCCATCGCGCTGGAGTCGCTTCTGGTCCTCCTGGCGGACAGTGATATGCTGACTGTCACGCCGGAGCTGAAGGCCGCCGTGCAGGAGGGGATCATGGCACGTGCGGAAAAGGTCCAGGTGGAAACGAGGAAGAACCAGAGTAGTCGCAAGACGGAGGATATCGAGTGGTGCTGGCTGCTGGAGAGTGGAGAGCGGTTGATGTTTCTGGTGGATGAGCTTCTCTCGCGGAAGCACCCTTCTGCGAAGTAGTTGACGTGAACGGCACAGCTTTTCTATATCTTTATGTCTATTTTCATGATACCCCTGCCTCGCACCGGCCTTGCCTAGTTTTGATGTTCAATTGATTCACCTAAACATGGTATCTAATGTTAAATTGCCTATGTACAAATGATCGGGAGCAAATCGAGGTTGAAGACAACAGCAACGTCAAGTAGCGCAGTATAACAAGGTAAATCTGGCCATGCCATCTATGGCGGCGGGCGAGGCCCAATGATCTGCCGCCTTGCTCCTCCTGCACCTAGACCGGGGCCGCCTCGGTTCTGGTTATCACCACCCATGTAACCGTACTGGTGCACATCCCAGGCGCCCTGGCCCGGCCCGACGCCAACGTTAGGATCCTTCAGACCCTTCGCGGCTGCCTCGCGCGTCTGCTTTTGACTATCTTCCCACTCACGCTGGCGCTCGCGCTCGCGCTCCATTTCCCGCTCCAGCAGGGACTTGGAGGCCCACCCGCCTGCTTTCGTCTTCTGCTGCGCAGCTACTCGGCGGCTATTTTCTTCGTCGACCTCTGCGGTGGTGGTGTAGTCCTGTGGGCGGTGAGTCGCGGGCTTAGGGGCGACAGGAGGACGGTTAGATGCGAGGAAGCGGTCGACACGGCTCTCCTGGCCCTGGGATTTATTGGCATAAGCGACTGGGTCGGGGAGAGGCCGAGGCGATGCTGGAGAGTTGAATTCGGCTGCTGATTGCGACGCAGTCGGTTCTGGAAGTGGTCGGGGCGGCATCGGAGGCGGCGCATTGCTGGGCTCGGACTCGGCAGTTTCATCGTGGGCTTGATGCTTCTGCCATTCGGTACGCAGCATTCGTCGTTCTTGCTCGAGAGACGACAGGCTGTAGCTGGGCTTCGGAGGAACAGGCACAGGGCGGGGACTCTGCGATTGCGGCTTGCCTGTTTCTTTCTCCTTCAGCTCCTGACGCTCGCGCTGATACCGGCGCTCTCGCTCCTGGGCGAGCTCCAGCTCCCGCTCCAATTCCTTGATGCGCTGACTTTCAGTGGACTCGCCAGCAAGGCCGGCTTGATATTGACTGAGAAATTGTCCTGTCAGTCGGACATCACCAGCCTCCCGCTGACGCTGTCTTGCTTTGTTCAGTCTCTCCTCGGCCTCCTTCTCCTCCTGTTGGCGCTTCCGTTCCTCTTCTTCCCACTTTCGCTGTTCCTCGTCCCACTGTCGACGCTCCTCCTCCAGCCGACGCCGCTCCACCTCCTTCAGACGAGCGGTCTCTTCTGCCCACCTGCGTTCCTCTTCCGCCTTGGCGCGCTCTTCCTCCGCCTCCTGCTCTTGACGGCGGATGCGTTCAGCTTCTTCTCTCTCGATGCGTTGCCGCTCCTCTTCCTCCCGCCTGCGCCTTTCCTTCTCGTCCAGGCTTGGGACGAACGGCGAAGGTGTCGTGATCTGTCGACGAGCGCCAAAGGCCACTCCTTGGTTGCCCTGACTGGCACCGCCCATGTACCCATACTGATGAATATTCCAGGCCGGCATAGTCACATGCTCGTCTGACTTCTTGCTCCAGCTGCTAACAGCCGGCGACTTGGCTGGGCTAGATGTTCCAGAATTGTTGCTGACATTGCTGAGTCCTCGCGATCGTAGAGGAGTATTGGCCGATTGACTTGAGCCGGTCAAATGAGGGCTCACGGCGCCTCCTTTGCTCTGAACGCCAATTGCTCGAGGAAATTTGCTGGGTTGAAGCGCATTAGCTCTCCTACTAAAGGCCATCAGACACTGTAGGACCTGCGCTGGATCCTTTGATTCGTAGAGATCGACAGTCAAAAAGACATCGTGTGGCGGTAGGCTGAGAGGGGGTATTTGACATGCGCGTAGGAAATGCGAGATGTTTTCCATTTGTACGAATGGCATAGATGACTGCTTATACTTGACGCCGGGGAAAACGGCGAGGTTGACGAGCCTGTGAAATCCCATCCAATCAGTATTTATTTGCAGTGTTTCTGCTCGGAGATACTTGCCTGCAAAGCGCGACGCCATCTTTGAGCGCATCCAAGAGATCCCCTGCTGGAAGTTTCTCATGAAGCGTCTCTTCAATCCATGCGCGGACCTCTGCGGCAGCCTGCGGGGTATAGCGGGACAAGCGCAAACTGCGCAGGTCCTTATCTAGTGATGTAACTGACGCCATACCGGGCCGAATAGAAATCAATGTGACTCTGCAATCATACAGAAAGTTCACTAAAGACTCGAGGAATCAGGATCCGAAGACCGAGGGACGTTAACCCCTGTTTATGCTGCCCAACAGGAACGGTGGGAAGAACCGCGGATCTATGTGGGCTTCAAGGGGTAGCGTAATAGGGGGAAAGAGGTTCTAGAAGAAGCTTGATTAAGGGGGGTTATTGAGAAACGATGAGCGGAGAAACCTATGTATAAGGAGTTGAAGATGAAAAGAGACCCTACAAGAATAGAAGCGATGGTGAAATAAAGAAACTTCCGAGAAGAAGAGGAGGCCTGGATAGTTGACGCTGATCTATGGAATGGAATGTGGTTGTCGGCCAAACAAATTGCGCCTATCGTAATAATCCCAATACGATTTGCACTGCCCGATGACGTTTTTCTGCGCTCTCAATACTATCAATAGCCTCCATCTACGTCGCAACACAGCAAGCCACGTTTACATCGCGCCTGATCGGTGTTTGTTCCAGGCTTCCATCAATAGTTCCATCTCACCTGGGTCCTAATGAGTCCAGTGAACAGCTTGTGGTTCAAGTGGAAAAGCCTTCGATTGCCGTGGCGAAGATCCTTCCTTGTCGGTTGGTATCCCCAGCACTAACTGTCTGTTACTACGTTGCCTCCAGATCCTCTGACAATATATTGCAGGCACCGACCTATCCGGAAATACATACTGGGAATTCAAAGACTCACTGAATGCCGGGCGATACCGACGGATCGTCAAGTACAACTCCAAAACCCACTATGCGGACGTGCAAGTGACTCGTGAGTGTCCTGAAACTTTCGACATAACGGACAGTGAACTCGTCTAGGTCAGCTAACAATATGTCTTTACAGCCCAGTGGCACCAATGGCTCCGATACGTCCGCGCCGACCCTCCCTCGCTTGAAGAACAGCGGCAGGATGTCCTCCGCCAGCTTCAAATTAAGCAACTCGCCCACTTAGCCGATTTGCGCTGGGCAAGTAAGCCCTCCTACCTCGACAAACCGCAAACTCAGCAGCCAAGGCCCGCGACCAGAACAAGCGATGCCACACTGAATCCACCGATGGGAGCAGTTGGCGAGGGTCCCAAGACGCATAACGCAGTGTCCGGCGCTGAGACGACAAAAGCAGCGGGAACGACGACGCCAACACCCGATGTGGCGCCGACGGCGAAAGAGGATCCTTGGGCTAAAGCTCGAACGAGCGACAGTGAGAACTGGCAGCCAGAGTCATGGACGCCGTCTGCTTCGCGGAGGTGACTAGGCAAACACTAGTCAATTTCATTCTAGACTTCTCCAGATCCTTTTCCTCCGAAAAAGCTGTTCGAGCTTCTGTTTATATTCAGTCGGCAACCTGGCGTTTCACTGCACATTGTTCAAAACATTTGAGGAGACTTTTTCATATCTGTAATGGCCGCGTCACCAATCTTTGTGGAATACTCACCACCCTGTACAATATACGACATTTATTTAACACCAGCTTCTTCCATATAAACTATATGATTGTACTGAGATCGACACCCCCTTGAAGAGAGCCGGAAACGAAGCCCGTGACATTGTACATCTGACAGGCCTAACCCTAACCGGAAACCTCACATCAGCAGCACGCGTGCGATGAGGACCTGCTCAGAAGTTGAGCAAGTAATCCTGAGGGAAATCGGAGAGCTAGTCGTAATCTTCAAGAGCAAAGGAGTAGAATCTTCGAGAAACATTAGGATAATGCATTCCATGATTAGGTATGTGTGTATCAAAAAGCTGTGGAGATCTAAGTGCGCTTTTTGTAACCCACCTCCGCAATGAAAATCAAACGCCCAAACGACCATTGCAATATATTCAAACAGGTATAGAGCGAAAAATCACAATGTTAAACAGATATTAGGTATACATGGGCAGGATTTAGCAGAGGACAGCCTCGAGTGCTTCCACATCTCCGCCAGCCTTTCGTACTGCATTGATGGCAGCCTCGCTGAGCTTGCGGCGTCGATCGCGGGCCTCCTGTTCGCGTCTTGCTTTAGTCTTGGAACTCCCACTTGGAGCGACTCCGGTAAGGATTTTCTTGCTGTCGTTTGGAGTGAAGTTGACAAACGACACTGTCAGTGACTTGTTGGATCCCGTTCGGGGACTAGAGTTTGGCCCTTTGACAGGCTTAGGTGCGCTCATTGATTGAGAAGACAACTTCCTGCCATGGTTGCCGCGGCGGTGAGGACTAGTCTTTGTATTGACTCCGTTACGCAAGGGTGATCCTTGTGTTGGTGACCCGCGGCCTCTTGGAGACAAAGATGGTGATCGTGACGCATGTTGAACAGGAGGAGTCGCGTAAGCGGACGAGTTCATATACTTTTGAGGAGTGATGGGAATGTGGTTGTATGTATTTTGATTCTCTTGGGTCATAGGGGCCGAAGCCACGCCAGACGAAAATGATGGGTCTGCCGAGGTAGACACATCAAAAGACGAATCAAATTGGATCATCAATCCCCCCTGCATCAGATCATGCTGGTTGTTGCTTTGAATGGATCTTTGTGGAGCCGGAGAGGACACCACGTGCTGATATGCAGGTTGTCGTGGTACCCGAGAGGGCATGGATGGCCACCATGCTTGACCATCGTGGCCTTGGAGGTCAGGCGTGAAAGGGAGTGCAGGGCCCCCAAGGGAGTCAGAATGCCAAGAGGACAAGGATTGAGGATCGGAGGAATGTGGAGAGGAAAATATGTCGTCGCCGGAAGGGGGGCTCGATGTGGCCATTGTGGAATTATTCGATTGACTTAAATAGTTCTGCTGCTGCTGCTGCGCCAGCAACTTGGCTGACGGTGATGGCATAGAGATGGCTGGTGACTGGTTAAAGATGCCAGTCTCGTAATGCGAAGGCATTTCTGCAGGATTTCTCGACAAGCACTCGGTCGAATGGCTCATATGGGGGACAACATTGTTCGCAGGAATGTTCTCATGCTGCACAAGGATATCAGATGGAGGAGGTGACAGCGGCAAGTGCTCGTGCGAGCTATGAAGACTGAAGTTCTGAAACCGCTGGGCCCATGCTTCGGGATACATCATTCTGCCTGCCTGCAGCTGGGAGGAACGCATCAGGCTTGGGGAGAAGCTCTGCTTGCGCAGCAGTTTACGCTCATGGGAATCTCGGTGACGACGGATAGATTTCGGAGTGACCAGAGCACTTTTGGTGGCTTTGTGGCGGGGAGTTGCGGGAGGAGTGGACGGTGATCGGGAAGATGCTTTGCAGGTAACTGCAGGGGCAGGGTGTGAAGTAGGAAGAGCTTCAAGGTGGAAGCTTAAGTCTGAGACAGCTGAGGGATGCACAGTGTCCTGAAAGGTAAAGCTGCCTTGGCTGGCGGATGAGGCTGCATCTTGCGGCAGAGACCATAAGTCGGTGGCCCAGGGTTGCGGTGACTGATGGGTGGGTTTGGTGGGGACTGGGGGAGAATGATCGCCACAATCGCTCGACAACGAGTCAAGAGCGAAGATTTGGTCAAAGTCGCCTGCAATTGAAACATCTTTGTTGCCATCGACCATCGATGAGTCCATGTCGACATACTGACTGAACAAATCATTGAAGGCATGATCGAATGGTTGAGCGAACATCTTTGGCTGCTCCGTCTTTCCGTTTGCGGCAAAGAGCTGAGAAGTGTCACAGACCGGTTAACGGGTGCCAGGCGGATCAGATATGATTGGCAAGGAGACTGCGGGAACAAAGAATGGTTCAAACAGAGTTCGGGTGTCGATCCGGTGTTCCGTCAATGCAAAGCAAAGTAGTATGGCTATGGTGGAATGCAATGTAGGAATAGTTTGATAGATTGACAATCAAAGAAAACACTGCAGAAGCTGCAAAGAAGACAAAGCAAACAAACAACAGACAGATGGCCACAGATGGCGCTATTTGAATTGTCCCGATGGCTGCCAGCCTCGAGGATTCTGCGCACATTCCTTCTGCTCTAAAGATGGGAGAGGAATGTACCTTGGGGAGTCGGAGAGGGCCTCGATATGGCCCACCTGATCCCCAGTGGGTGATGCGAATGATTCAAGAGAGCACCCCAGATGCCCATTACCAATCAGAAGGCGCACAAAAGCAAGTGGCTGATGCAAATATCCTACCCTTATCCACTCTCTGGGCAAAAGTGGACTGGGTTGTCGTTGGCCACCCGCTGGAATGTAACCCTCCCTATACCAGAACCAGAAAGACGTAGAATCAACAGAAGAGGAATGTGTGGTTCTCAGCAGCTAGGAATAGCGCACCACCTTGGGGAGAGCTTATGACAGCTGCTCGATAGCGGGCCATGGGACGAGAGACGATCATGGGGAATCCGTTAGCTTGAGCGGTATGATCCGTAAGGAACCAGAGCAGAGTATCCGGGATGGCGAAATGCCAATATCAGCGCCCATCTGGTCAATCCCAAGTGTCCAAAGTGTAAGCGTCATACGGTTTTCCTACACCGTCAGCACGCATCACAAACAGCAACACTAGCCAGCACAGGGCCACAATGCCCTGGTCTTTCTCCTTTGACTCTTTTGGATCCTGCTTGACGGTTGATGTTTCAGTGGAGCTGTTGGTTAGCAATGATTCGCTCCCTTCAACGGCACAGCCGTCGATAAGCTTGTTGCGAATGTGTGTCGGAATGCGAGGGCTGGGAAGAATGCGCGCCCACAACAACAATGCAAAGAAACAGCCTGGCTTTCGGGGTTTAAGGCGCACACACAGTTCTAACAGCAGTCAGTCTTGAGGCACGGCCTATGAGAAAGGTCTGCGCGATTGCCCTCATGCCAAATTTTCTAAAATTATCCTGCTCTATACACGTAACAGATCTCCACTTGGTGAGGGAAGAAATAATTCTCGGCTTAGATCGTCATGGCTTGCAGACTTTTGCCCGGTCAGAAGTGATTTCAAATTATTTAGAAAGGTATTCAATGAGAATCAGTCTTTAGGAGGCATGAACCCACTGTGCCATGGTGTGATGCGTTCTTTGTTCTCTGCGGGAAAGCAACTCATGCAGTTGGCAGGCCCAGCAAGTATGATCCGTAGAAGGAATCTCGTATCAGAGTTAGGTCGTTCTCCCCAGCCGATTTCTTTGTTCTCCAAAGTCTTCTTTGTGTCCCATAGCCATGTGGTAACTGGGAAGCTCCCAACTACGAGGGCACACATGATGTTCGGGCCTGGGAGCCAATCTTGCGTAGTGATTCTTCAGTCCATTAAACTCGAAGGAGCGAGGGCTAAAGATAGGACAAAGGTTCAGAAACCAGAATAGGAAGTGCGAGCCTTGTTTTGGCCTTGTCTAGACAAGATCTGTCTGAAAGCGTCGCTGAATGTTCTGTCAGTGCTTAGAAAAATTAGGTTCTTGCAAGGGGGATCATCCTTGAGTTAGTAGTTAGGTAGTAACAACAGCAAGCCACAAGAAAGAATTCCATGGCTAGTGTTAGTAACTTGGTGTTAACAAGGCATAACAACTGTTCAAATTGTTGTGAAGCTTAAACCCTCAAAGAGAGGGCAATAGAGCATGGTTTCATTATCATGAAAGGAACATCTTCGACAGATGGGCAGGCTTAGTAGAGGGAAATAATTCGAGTCATGTGTAACAATCTGCTAAGACTTAATATGAATATTGGGCCGTTAGTCCTAGTATTATTCAGTTACGATTAGCATTTTCAGCGACAGAGATTAGTGTGTGTTGAATAAAATTCTTGGTGATATCTCGAATCTGCCACAAAAACGCTCATGATCATATTGAGTGGCTTCGCAGAAAATCACGGGACTCGTCCTCCTTACCTAATACCGGAGGAAGTTTACTCCGGATCTGGTCAGCACTGCGGCCGCTAAGCCAATTGTGGGAAGCGTCGGGCTAATAGCATTGGGAGGCAACAAGAGGTCAGGTGCCGATGACGGAAATCTGACTCCTCGCAGCCGCCGCGCAGTTGACCTCTTTCCTCCCCTTCTCCAAGGCACTGTATATTGTGCTGAACTTCCTTGGCCTATCCATCGCGTTTTCTCTGGCTCGACGTGAAGCGTCGATGTCAGTCTGTATCTGAGATTTCTCCGTACGAAAGCCGTCGCCAACTTTCGATTGTTACCCCTCGAACCCCGCTGTTGCCAGAACATCCCACGCAAGGTGGGTATGACTTCACAAGGACAACTTGGTATCATCAAGGGCTCAAACTGATCGCAACTGCTTGTATAAGATCCAACCCGTTATTATCGCGATTGAGATACGCGGGGCTGAAGTTTAAGCAGTACGCAACGCGTGTGCTCCCAAACTATA